GTGGGTGTGTTGTCTGCGAGCTCCTCCAGCAATTCCTCCAGTGACGGTGACTCATCTGATAGTGACAGCGACTCTCCCCCGGCACACAACGACTCTAAGCAGAGGCTCACTAATGGTACACTCACTATTATTATGTTTTGGCAATAACACTTTTTTGCTAGTGATAATTTTACCTTCTGGCGTTCCAATTATTGTAGACTACTACTACGCGTTTTGTCAGCACCGTGACATCATATTGTAGTTTAATCAGCTATGGCTTTGTCTCCAACATTAAAATAAAACTGTCATGACAAACAATAAATACACATAATTAGATTCAACCAAACGTCGACGTGGTCGCAGTGGCCATATCATGCGTAGGCACATGTTTAATTCTGGGCAACGACTGCAGGATGGTGCGTTGTCTGTGGTGTACTTTGCCCAATGGCGTCATTACTCTTTTCCAGGAGTATCACAGTGTCGAAGAATTGCATTTCCTTGATTGTTTATTTTGTCATTCAGTATGTTCGGGTACCCTGTTCACACTGTAATAAATCTCATAACCTTAAAGTGTGAACATTAAATAACTTTTCTTGCACTTGTGTAATATTTGCAAGTTATCTGAGATGGAACTGTAATTATGTCCACATTGTATGAAGTTTCAATATAGTTCAACTTTTGGATGCAGATACAGTAGAACCCCTCATATCCGGCCATCACGGGACCAAGACCCTGGCCGGATAGCAATTTGGCCGGATAAACCAACCAACTATGAAAATTTAATAATTCATACCTAATAATATTTAATCAATAAATGCTGTCAAAAGTATCATTTAAGTCTATTTTAGGATTATTTTTAGAAGAATTAACATGTTTGTACAAGTAAAAAAAAATGTTTATTTGTAGGTTAAAGTTGTAAAGGAATGAACATACGAGTATTAAGATTACAGGTAACAAAAACTATTAAATAATGGAAGTAAAAATTACAATAAATCCAAATCGGCAATGAAGATTTTTTTGGACCTAAATAGTAAATACATTTCTACTGAACTTTCTTATCTATTTTGTGAAATAAATACAAAAGATTAATTTCCCAATCCCCATTTGTAATTAACCAACTGTTTAGAGGTTAGGCCTAGCTCAACTGAGTTTAGTGGCACAGTAAAATGTATTTAAACAAACAGATAAATAGTTCAGATAAATAGTTTAGCTCAGACAAGTCAAAAAGACTAGTGCTTGCGTCTGTAAGCTTTGAGAAAAACAGATGCAGACCCCTAGTATGTTGTATTATAATTTTCGAGTTAAGTTCATGAGTCATAGAAATTAATGAGAAATTTTCTGTGGACACCCTGTTGAGATAGAGGCTAATTAAATAAAAGGGTGTTTTTACGAAGATTAATGATGTTATAGACAATCAACTATAACAATACTGTCATAGTATCGGCAAATATATCCGCCTACTGTCCGCAAAGCCCAAAAGTTAATATATCCATCTACCGTCCGCTATGCACAAAATTCTAGGGGCCGCCTATAGTCCTTCACAGGGTGTCCACCGACAGGGAAAACCAGGAATTATGTGTGAATTTCGCATTTTACCGGGAATTTTCAATTTGCCATGATCGCGCATGAAGATGACGTTTCCATGGCCACGGAAGACGACGAAGATGTCCAAACGGCAGTGGGATTTGTTAGTGATTTTGCCACGATCGCGCATGACGACGATGACGTATCCGTGACCACGGGAGACAACAATGACGTTTCCGTGACCGCGGGAGACGACAATGACGTTTCCGTGACTGCGGGAGACGACGATGACGTTTCCATGACTACGGGAGCAGGCGATGACGTTTCCGTGACCGCGGGAGACGACGATGACGTTTCCGTGACCGTGGGAGACGACGTGATGTTTCCGTGACCACAGGAGACGACGATGACATTTCGGTGACCGCGGAGGATTAAAATCTTTCCGTTACCGCTGAAAAATATCAGAATTTTGTCACGACCACGGAAGACAGTGGTGATGTTTCTGTTATTGAGTGAGATATTCAGGATTTTTCTGTTATCGCAGAAAACGATGATCACAATTTAACCTCGAGTTTGGCTTGACCAAAAATTTCAAAATGGCACACTTCAAGAAAGTTTTATTTTTCATATTTTGTAATATCTTCATTTACCTTTAACGTGATATTTATTTAATGTGTTTAGAAGGGTTTAGAATTTAAATTGGCTTCGTGAAATTTTTGTAATTTCTGCATTAATTATTTCTATAGGTCACTTGAGAAACAACCTATAACTACAAAATTACATACTATATAAAAGTACATAAAGATGTACTTTTATATAGTATGTAAAGATGTACATTGGTGTAGTAATCATTACAGAAAATTTGGTAAAATTGAAACGGCTACCAGTATTAAGAATCAATTTTCAGGTGTCCGTACAAAGATTCAAAAAATTTTGGTATTGACATATCACTATTTTGAAGAAGTTATTTCTAAATTTCAGGTTTAAGGATTCGTTTTTAATTTTTGGATTATTTAATCAGAAATATATAAAAATTTAATACTTGTGTCAGGCACTATTACAGTAATCATAAATATAGTTTCTTTAACTGAGAATGCTCTTTCCGATAACTAAAATAGCGAGCTGTGTTAGCGCTAAAACAGCATTGCGAGAGTCGGCTCTTAACACGTTGGAAATTTTAGTATGAAAAGTACGAACTGAACTACCTGGATTTTTTTTACTCATGAATTACTCATGAATTTTTTTCTGGTTGGCCTGGTGGACACCCTATGGAAAGGTTAATGCTTTCAAGGAAAAAGTGGGTGGGGTACTTTTCCATTTACTAAAATCTAAACAAGTTTTGTGTGTGTTTCAGGACATGTTAATGGAAGCGTACCCCCAGCGGCTTTGCTGGAAGCAGATCTGGAACTGTCAGAGAGTGGCACGGACTCAGACTGTTGACTGCCTTGTGTAAATAAAATACTCGATGATAAGGTGTACTCATATGCTACATCGGAATATATGGCACAAATTGATATAAAATTATATACGTTTTCTTATTTTCTATCTTCCTCCTCCTGGTGACGTGTCAAATCTTGGACGGATGGATTTCAACAAAATATTCAAATTTGCGACTAGCTTCTACCACAATTTGATAATTTATTCAAAGCAATGATTATTAATTATTGAAGCCGTGATTAAAATGGAATCTGTGTAGGAGTGTTGAACATTTTAAGTTTCTGGTTTTGGGAATATTACTGATTGCTGGGAATTGATAGCTTACAGATATTGTCACAAACAGTGGCGGCTGGTGGGTTAAAGTAATGGGAGGAAGCATAAATTTGTTAGTTGGTAACTGATACCAGAGAAAAGTTATAAGTTGAAAAAAATGAGTTATTTAAACTTCAATTATGGTATATGGTCAATGGTTTAGTCCTTTTTTATATAAACTGTTTTTTTTTTTCATAGGCACATCTGTAATTATCATTAACTCTTTGTTCATAATTAATTGTCCTCGGCGCTTGCATACTTTCTAGAAATATTTTTAAGTTCATAATTTATTAGCTTCACTGCACAACACTTCTAGAGAAGCGATAGTATAGGCTACTAATTAATCAACACCTAAAATACTGGTGGCATGACAAACATAACCTTTACAAATCACTAAATACTGCCTTCTCTTATTCGACAGATTATATCGTGTGGCAGTCAACAGATCGTAGCGCTCAGCGTTGTGGCAATAGTTAAAGCTACTGTTTGGGCTGAGTCCCAAACGCCGTATATCTATTGCATTAGAGCCTAACATAGCGCTGTGATTGGTCAATTTTTTTCATGCAGCTTATATGGGAGTGAATCCCTGTGTACTAGGCTATCTGTTGCAAAAACATTATGCGTCCATTTTTACCCGTCAAAAAAACATTGGCCCTGCTAATGTTTATGTACATTCAAAACATTCAAACGCAGGATTAAAAGTCTTATTTATTATTATTAATTTTACTATAGTCTTGAAAATGGGAGGACTCCGTCACAGAGTCCTCGTAGACCACTGCCACTGGTCACAAAGAGATGTTCATAACGTTTTGTAATTCTCTGTCATTAACTTTTTTTTTATTTAAACACAAATAAATATATAATGGCGAGAATCAATATCGACGGTGGATTCAATTTTGAATTTTTCTTTGATCGAATCATAGACAAAAAGAACTAAATATAGACCGTCAGCTGTGCTGCAGTTACCATAGGTTCTGGCACACACCACTGGGAACGCCATGTAGTTACGGCCTTTGCGCTACGTAACTACACGGCGCGGCCAGCGGTGTGCGCCAGAACCTATGGTAACCACAGCTCGGCTGACAGTCTATATTTAATTCTTTTTGTCTGTGATCGCATTTTACTTTTATAAGGACTAGTGATGGTCGAATCCAGGAATTTCGAATCTGAATCCTAAAATAATCAAATTTCGAATCTTGAGTCCCAAAAATAGTTACAAAAGGGCTTATGGTGATTAAAAAGCAGGAATGGAATAGGAACCATTTAACACTTACAACCACCACGACAACAATAACCTCTATGGTTAGTCAATGTCACAGTACTGTATATTACAACGTCAATTTAACCTTTATGGTCAGGCAATGTGACAGTATGCCTTACAATTCTATTCTAATAAAAAAATTTGTTTAATCTCGTTAATCGAATCTCAAATCCAAATCTTTTCTTAGGATTCGGATTAGACACATCCCTAATTAGTACTTATTACACTGAAAATTGGTCTTGGTCTTGATCTTTATGAATTTAATCATTCCAACCATCGCCACCATCGCTCCGGAAATTAAGAACCAATAGTCCTGTTAGATTGACTACCCTCCAACAAGATGTTTATCAACATTTATTATTTAACTTTGCCAACCTTGTCAACGTTTGATAAGGTCAAACCAATATTCAATCTGAAATGAAGTTTCTACGAATGTCTAGTGTTATTTAATTCAGAAACCATAGCTTAAGTAATAATATTCATTTATTATTCTTTTAACTTAATGTAAATAGGGTACAATACAAATACAAATATCAATATATTTACAAAGGTATTATTTACAAGTATTGTATATAAACAACTACTTTCCTTTAAAGAAATTAGCTAATGGCCAGTGAATATAGGCCTATTTTTTTTTTCTTATTTGTAATTGGCTATTGATTGCATCAGTCTTGTCGCATCCCTCAACTTCATGACAAGTTCTTGTAGCTGCTGAAGAGAGCATGTGAAGGTGTGTTTTTTTGTCACTGTTACTTCTTCAGAAACAGTTTTTCTCTCAGTTCTTTCTGTTACAATTGTTATGAAATACACCAGTCGAGATTCATGTTCCAATGCACTTGACTGAAAAATAAATCAAATAATTTGTCTTGTGGTGTGATAAGAAAATTAAACTACGACCATGCTACGAAATAATCAATGAGTAGAAATCAGAAACGTCGTTTCTTCAACACTCGAAACTAATGTAGACTATGACACTGTGAAGAATGCTGATGGTACTTGGAAGAGTATGCTATTTAAGTTTCTAAAATTGCCAAGCAGAACAGAACACAAGTTTTCGCCTTGCTCCAATATTGTGTCCTCCTTTTTAACCGTTTTTAAAACATGAAATATTTTATTTAGCAAATTTAATGGTATCGGTTGAATCATTATCTGTCTTGAAAATTCATGGTACAATGTAATACAAACACAATGCATACAATGTTATACTTGTGCATAATGGATGGTCACTAGAATTCTAGCATGATTCAAGATTCAAGGTTTTCATGGCCGGTGGCAACTCTGTTCTGTACCCTAACTTATTAATTGTGTGTACATTTTTGCCCTGTGAAAAGTGGATTGTAGCAATATCAGGATTTTGAGACTATGCTATAAGCCTATAACCTGCGGAGGAACATTTGTGAGAACATTTCTATGTTTTGTGTCCTGCAATTAAATTACTGAAAGTTAGACTTTTTTTGGTTTTGTTTTTTACTGACCTGGTGATTAGTAGCACAGACATAATTTCAAAAAATCATCCTTAAAGAGTTCCATTAAAATTACTTATCAAATACACTGTAAAGTAACTTTAATTAATGTTTATAAGTTAGAACCAACAAGAGCAACCCACTAAGTAGTTCCATAGACAAATAGAATGAATATAGACCATCAGTTGTGCTACGATCAGCATAAGTTCTGGCATCCACCGCTAGGATTGCCGTGTAGTTACGACGCACACCGCTGCAGCGTCTGCTGGTAGCACGACGGCAGCGAATCAAACACCGAGCGGCACATCGCGGAACCTTCCTTTGACAGTCTATATTTATTCTATTTGTCTATGGTAGTAGGCTACACTACTAAATAGGCCTACAGTAAAATCTGTATAACAAGAGTCTCATAGGGATTATAGATGACTTGTTATAAAGGTTGTCTTCTTATCGAGATTTGCAATAACATGTGATTAGGGGTAAAATAATTTCAAGGAGATTTGAAAATGACCCTTATTATCAAAGGGTGATCTGTTATCGAGGTTCTACTGTAATGCAAAGTAAATTCTACAGTTGAAGGATAAATTTAAGAGTATTATCTATTCATACCTTAATGCACAAATCTAATCTCCATTTGATGTCTAAAATGCGAGGGAGAGAGGTTCCCACATTTCTCAACGACAACTGAAGTTTGCTCCCATATGCTTGATACAAATCCAGAATTCTTTGCAAGCGAGACAAATTTAAGTTGTAATTTTCTAGTGTTGTGGTTAGGCCATTTACGTCTAAATTGTGCCTAGCCGATTCAACCATCAGAATCAAGAGGGAAGCAAAACTCTCTTTAACAATATCAGGTTTGGAGGAGGAAAGCTCGTTCATTCCTGCAACAATATTGAACACAACAAAAATTTAAAGATATTACTCGGGATCAAACAATTTGGTGGGATATTAAACAAAAGGTTTCATAGTTTCAATAGCTTTATAGTCATCTAGTTTTAAATTGTGGAGGGAAATTCAAATTAAATGTTTAGTGGGAAAAACAAAGGTTGAGTGTTTTACTATTGATACATCCAATACAGTATTCAATTCGGTATCCAATAGTCAATGGTTGAGCATAGGGGAGTTAAACTGATAAAGCATTTGCACTGCACATGGCATCACTGTAAATGAACTAACTTATATAATGCATAAATGCATACCGTACATAAGTTAATCTAATATTGGAGTGATTGAGTTTGGAATAACTTAATATTAAAAGTGAAAGGTAAAAACAATTTATGTAAATACAAAATTGCCTTCCTATCATAAAAGAGATACAGTATAGCCTAAATTATTCTTTCCACTATGGAAATGAAATGAAAATGGTTATTTATAGGCCTACAGGCAATATTTATAGGTTTGGCCACATGCTCTTACACTTAAAAAACCTGTGGATGGCACTATTAAATAAACTAAACTCTGATATAGGGAAACTTTTATCTTTAAAAAGTGCAACTGTAAGTGAATTATACCAATGATAAGTCTATGACATCAATATATGGGATGGGTACCAAGATACAGTACCTATATAACTGCAACAAAATCTTGAATAAATATGATGTATCTATTGCTATGCAAATAGGCCAACTTAAAGCTAAAAATAAAAATAAAAGGCGAGCAATGCTGAGTACCATGCCAAGACAAATTATGGGCACCCCCTCTAGCTAAAAAAAAATAATGAATAAATTCAATACCCGTAATGTTCTGTAATCACTTTTATGAATCAAAAGTGGGTCTTAAGAAATATATAAAAGTACATTCATAATGGTCATTACGAAAACATTTTTTAAGTTGATGTTTAAATCAAATAAGTAGTTGACTCACAGAAGTGTCATTATTTTATACTTTAACAGAACTATTCAGAAAACAAAACAACTTTCTTGGGTGTTATCTAGGCTTTATTCAACTTTAATTTTTTTTCTTTGTTTGGTTTGTGGATTTAACCATATAAACTAGGCCTACAAAATAACTTCAAATAGCTTATTCATTTTTAATTTTGGCATAAAAAACTATGATTTACCCTTCTTAATGCACAAAATACTATTTTGTTTTGGTCGGTTCTATGTGTTACCAAATAGCTTACCAAAAAACCTTTTGAAACACTATATTTTCAGAATTTTTTTAGTTTATACCAGGACCCCCCAGATGTTTTTTAGACCTATATATTGCACCCTCCTGTTTCAAAACCTGTGGGTGCCCATGAGACAAATTATGTGCATTATAAGACAAATCTCCAATTTGGATTGGAGACATAAACTTAAAATAAATATAAAATCAGTACAGTATGTTAGTGAGGGTTATAAGAGATCTCTTTGTTTTAACCTGTTACAGAAAAATAAAACACAAACGATTCTAGCCACAACTTTATGCTATCAATCTATAACAAACCAGAATGATGACTTATAAGATTTATAAAATTCACTTATTATTATAGACCAACCACACAAACAACTAAATTAAAGAAACATAAAACGGGTACAGTTTCTTAACTGTGCTATGCTAATATCGATTGTAACTATCGAATTGAAAATATTAATAATCGATATTTTTAAATATATCTATTATAAAATTAAGCTATCATAACCTAACCTAACCAACCAAACTTGCTGATGGTGAAAAAATCGCATGAAGGTTTAGTAATCGAATCAATAGTTTCAATCATATTAGCATAGCCCAGTTAAGAAACTATACCCCATAAAACTATAAAACCTCTTGTTTGTTGTTATGTTAATAATTGTATCTACTATCTAGTAGGACCATACTGCTATGCCCTTTTAGACCTCTGACTTACTTGGGTACGACTTTGACTTTTCACATAGCACTAAAGCAGCAGCCTTCAACAACGATTTAAAACACTCGTCTGATATTAAGGTTTGATTTCCAAGTCTTTTTAAACCTATAAGAGTTTGTTGTGATAATTTCATACTGATTGGTAATGTTTTTAAATTATAGGTTAGTTGGATGACATAAGTAGTGGAAGTGACACTGACAGACAACTAACAGGGAAAGAAGAAGAACATGATAATAAAACATTCTTCATTATAGTTCAGTGGAAAACGAAGTCTGGCAGTTCAAGCATTGGTTATTGAGTGAAGCGAGCAAAGCTCTTTTAAAATTCCTGCCTTTGTTTTCCAAATACTCCTCCCTGAACGGCCGAAGCAATCTGCATGATATTAGCAAGGCACAAGCCACGACCACCTTTAACCATAGACTAACCTATGTTTTATCTATGCTTTAACTCACCGCGGCCTGGTAGAATTGGCAACGTTGCAATTAGTGTTGTCTAGCACCAGAAATCCCATAAAATAACATGGCAGACAGGTGACACTAGCTCATTAAATCACGTATTATGGCTGCACTTCACGTCCAACACTCGTTCGAATTGAAATATCGACTTTTCGATTGTTTGGTTAGTTAGGTTAGGTTAACCTTACCTAACTAACCAAACGATATAGAATAATCGATCGATATTTTCATTCGACTGAGTGTAGGACATAAAGTGCAGCCAGTATTATTCATTTAAATATAAATTTATGAACATAAAATTATTAATATATTTAAAACTAGCAGAGTACCCGTTCTTCGTACGGGGTTAGCATATAAGTATAAAATGCTTATTACAGTAATAGGAGAGGACAAGGTTTAAGAAAATTTAGTCTTTTTTATAAGGTATGCTATAGTGTTACACACATCTGCCATAGCCCTAATGTTCTACTACTGCACCTAAGCCATTGAAAAAAGTAAAATGTGTACCACAACTTTTTGGCCCGACAGCGACGTCCTGTCCTAATGTGGTTTTATGTCAAATGCTCGTTCATTTTCAAGATGAGCTCGTTCGCAACGCTCAATCACGTCCTGGTTGAAGTTCGTTTGCTACGCTTACTCACATTTAGATTGGAGCTCTTTCGCTGCGCTCACTTGCCTTCAAGTTTAGCTCGTTCCCTACGCTAAACTCGCCTCCCTCATAGATAAAAAAAATTATGGTGCTGCACCCTGTTGGTAAATTAACTTTTTAATGCTATTTTGAACATCACAGAATCAAACTGTTTAGTTTAACCAGCTGTTAAGATGCTTTAATTCCATTTAAATACTACTACTCATAAGGTAAGGGAACTACAGAGCCACTGGGGCGCGGAGCCCAAACGATTTTTGAGATATGGATATACCTAAATGTTAATAGGGAATGTGAGCTATCATCATGCCAAATTTCAGTCATCATCATGGAAATTTCCAAATCATCAGCCTAAATCCGTCCAGTAGTTTAAATAATGCGTGATTGAGCAACACACAAACACACAACCTTTCAGATTTATAATATTAGTAAGATAAGATAAAACAGAATTTAAAACCAAAACAATATTAAAATTTAAAATCCCTTTTTGTACATTTAAAGTGAATTCAATATTTTCATAGCCTAGTAACCATAAGCTTTCTTATTCTTAAAATATACACGCAATTTGTTAGTCTATTAGCTGCCTCCAAAAACAGCTGTTACAACCCTACTTGCGATGTTGTCACTCACAAGGCCGCGGCCTAATAGAATTGGCAACGTTGCAAGTGGTGTTGTCTGGTGCCATACGTCGCATAAGATAACATGGCAGATATGTGATACCAGCTCATTAATTTGCGTATTATTCATTTAAATTTATGAACATAATGTATTAAAGGATTGAAAATAAAACGTATAGAGTTGAGAACCAAAATAATATTTAAATTGAAAATCTATTTTTGTATATTTAAAAGTGGAGTCAATATATTATTAGCCCAGTAACCAAACTTTCATATTATCAAAAAATACACAAATACCATTAGCTACCTCCAAAACAAAACAGCTGTTACAACCCTACTTGCGATGTTGCCACTTCGAAGGCCACGGCCTGGAGTTAAGGGTGGCCGTGGCAGTGCACAAGCACAGTCTTGTTAATCAACGATGGCAAGGTTTGATATGATAAAACATATACATAGATTTATCATCCTTTATGGATCAGATGTAGAAAATTTGTATTTTTATTTCTGTCTGGTTGTTAGTCTATGGTTTTGTTTTATCTATGATAAATCTGAAATGGTACAAATTATTGAACAACGAGGATTTTTCCAAACTTTAAGAAATTTAACATATGGGCCTTAAGGGTTGAATATTTATTTTTATTTACAGTATAACCATTTTACAAAAATATATATTACTAGCTGTAACCCGTTTAACTTCTTAATTTTCAAGATTATCTCGTTCGCATGGCTCAATCACGTCCTGGTTGAAGTTTGTTCGCTACGCTCACTCACCTTAAGGTTGGAGCTCGTTCGCTACGCTCACTCACCTTTAGGTTGGAGCTCGTTCGCTGCGCTCACTTGCCTTCAGGTCAGCTCGTTCGCTACGCTAACTCGCCTCCAGGTTGAAGTTCGTTCGCTACGCTCGCTCACCTTTTGCAAATTGGTTGCAAATTAGCTGTTGTCATAAATGAAAAAGAAATAATAGTGCTGCACCCTGTTGGTAATCCTTGTAACTTTAATGCTACCCTATTGAACATCATAGAACAGAACCAACTTGTTTAATTGAAACAGCTGTTAAGATTCAATAATTCCATTTCTCATAAGGTTAACATGGGAAACTCCAGAGCCACTGGGGCGGAGCCCGAAAGGATTTTTGAAACAAGAATATGCCCATATGTTAATCGGGAATGTGAGCTATCATCATGCCAAATTTCAGCCCAATCCGACCAGTATTTTTCGCGTTCACTTGTCACAAACATACATCCATACATCCATCCATACATCCAAACTTTCTCATTTATAATATTACAGTAGGATTTATTCATTTGCCCAAAACATAATGCCAAATAATAAATGGTTTTTGTACAGCATTTATTTATGGTTCAATGAAGACATTATTCACAGAAGTGTCAACAAAATATGAACAAGAAATTAACAATAATATCGTGGGTTCGCCCAGACCTGAGACACCCTTTAACATAATTCATTTAGGTAAACATATTTATTCAATTTTCCTTAGGCTTAATTCGTTTAATAGATCTTGAGGGAGCCTTCAACGTAGCCTCTCCTGTTTTCAGTTGCTTCGCCAAGTTCAAAAGCCAATGCACCAGGAAAATGTTTTAAAGACTTCAGAAATTTGGGGGTGTTTTTTTTTCAATAAAGGCCGAGATATACTCCACTCCTATCTCCTTATGTATATGCCTGTTTCTAATAAACGAATAAACCACCACCAGAGCATTCACCGCTATAATCTTAGAAATTTGTTTTGGATCACTAGAATGTTGAAGAGTAATTTTTTTTATATTAGCTAATCCCCAGAGATGCATATGTTATCAAAGGCCGAATCATTGATTTGTAGATTAGAACTGTACAATTAAGCAGGTTTCAGAGTATATTTCCTATTGATCAAAGGGAAAAGCTTTGCAAGCGTACATAACCTTGGGAAATTTTTTTGTTTACATGGAAGTTGCAATTTAGTTTCTTATCCAACCATACTCCAAGGTATTTTTTTTTTGTCAACAGGGTTCCGGGTTTTACGGTAGGTTACCATAAATTTGAATTTCATGTGGTGTTGTATGAACATAGTTACGTAACAATACAGTAAACCAGATACAGAAATGAATCGTGTTAAACCATAAATAAAACATAGTGTATTATTAATGTAATGTTTTATTGAAATATAATAGTTTCTGAGATATAGTGGTACAGTTAAGTTTTTGAGCCTTATACTGTATCCAAATCGTTATGTTGTTTCATTATTCCACATAGATATATTTTTATTCAACTCATCAAAATCATTTAGCTCTTAACTTATTAAACAACGTGGATACAATTTACAGACTTAAGAGGCCATCAATTCTGGACCTGCCCTACAGATTTTTGTAAAGTGTTTTTATTGAAAAATTTGTTGTTGAGAGTGCTTAGCAGCTATCTTTAATGTTCCAAAGTCAATTTTTCGTATTACATAGTATTTACTTATTGTTCGATATATATTAGAACAGATTGTAAAGTAAATAAATAAAAATAAAAAAAAAATAAAAAAATACAAACCAACTGTTTATTGTCCAAGGACAATACAATGTTGGTATATAATGAATTAATAATAAAAAATTTATCGATATTAACAAATTGAAACATATTAGCTGACAACTACGATAAATATTGTTCAGTATCAACAAACAATAATAATTTTTTTTTTTATCACAATTTTTTTTTACAATCTGTTCATTTTTAGAACATTTAGCAAATACAATAACAAATTTTAATAAAACGTTAGTTAATCTCTGTCCATTGACAGAGCTAACTTAAAAATATTTTAATGAAAACATAAATATGTAAATAAACAAGGGAAAATTAAATTGTTCAAACAAAACGTGTGCTTAGATCCAAAACATGAATCCTTTTTAGCCTGTATATACTGGTGCTGTTGTCCAAGAGGTTTAGAGCCAGGTGATTAGGGTGATTTTCAAGTTTCTTTAGATATTTTGCACTAAATTTGGTTATTTCCTCTTCAACCGTAGGAATTCCACTGTCCTTGTGAAGGATATTGTTATTAACATACCACTGGGCTTGCAGAATGAACCTTAAAACTTTTGACTGAAATCGTTGGATAATGTTTATGTTCGACATACTGGACGTTCCCCACAGTTGGATTCCATAAGTCCAAATTGGCTTCAGTATTACTTTGTATAGTAATAATTTATTTGCAATGGTCAATTTTGATTTACTATTTAGGAGCCAGGAAAGATTTTTAAATTTTAAATTTAGGTACATTCTTTTATTCCAGATATGGGTTTTCCAGGTTAATCTTTTGTCAATCGTCATGCCGAGATATTTCACATCGTGGGATTGCGGAATTTGGACATTATTTAAGGTTACAGGAGGACAAGTACCTAATCTGGTAGTGAAGGTCACATGAGTAGATTTGCTCTCATTCACTTTTATTTTCCATGTTTGCAACCATTCTTCTAAGTCATCTAGGGAATTTTGAAGATTAAGTGAAGCTACCACTGGATCAGGATGGGACGCTAAAATAGCTGTATCGTCAGCAAAAGTGGCCACAGAAGTATTCACATTTTCAGGTAGATCGGCTGTAAACAGAGTATATAGTACAGGTCCGAGAACACTTCCTTGGGGAACGCCAGCTTGAATTGGGTACAATTTTGTAATGCTATCTCCAAATTTAACTCTGAAATATCTGTCGGTTAGGTATGATTTAATTGTCATATAAAATGTATGAGGAAGATTCAGTTTGAGTTTATAAAGTAGGCCTGTGTGCCAAACTTTGTCAAAGGCTTGACTTACATCGATAAAGACAGCTGTACAATAGTTCTTTTTCTCAAGGTCTTCTTTAATTGTATTAACCAATCTATGTACTTGTTCAACTGTGGAATGCTCCCGTCAAAACCCAAACTGATGATTTGGAATCAAGTTTCTGTCCTCTACTTCTTCAAGTAGACGATTCAAGAAGAGCCTCTCAAACAATTTGGATGTTATTGGAAATAGACTGATAGGTCGATATGAACTTGCTTGTTGGGGTGGTTTTCCTGGCTTTGCTATCATGATTATTTCTGAAACTTTCCATTGTGACGGGAAATACTCAGTCCGTATAATTGAATTAAAAATGAGTGTCAGGTATATGAATGCTTTTCTAGGAAGCTCTTTCATTACTTTTCCCGTGATTAAGTCGTCCAGGGGCTTTAAACAGTTTTAATTTGTTTACAAGTTTACAGACTTCTGAGGGAGTAAAGGGCTTTATTGGAGGTGATAACTGATTTGGTGAGTCAATGAACTCAAGAATTTCGTCAAGATTATTAAAATTATTATTTTGATTTTGATTGGGAGTAAACACTGCGGCCAAGTGGTTTGCAAACACTTCAGATTTTTCAATATCGTTTCTTGCCCAAGTTCCATCGGACTTAGAGATAGGCGGTATCAGGATATTTGGACGGTTCATCCCTCTAGTAGCTTTCCATAAAGAGTAGTTTGTTGTTGAATCAGGTGACAAATTACCTGTATATTCAGAAAACCATTCATTTTTTAAATTTTTCAGATCCCTCTTAAGTTCTTGAGCTGCTCTGTTAAATTTAGTTTTGTCTCTCGGATTTCTAGTCTGTTGCCAAATTCTTCTTAATCTTCTCTTCTCAGCAACTTTCCGTTTTACATGTAATGGATAGTTGTAGGAAGTTAAATGGGTTCCTGTGTTTTGTATATTAGGAGTCGCTTGCCAGCAAGATTGTTGAATTACATTGTTAAATTTTCTACAGCGTCATCAATGTCATCTGGAGTTTTAAGAGGTATTTTTAGAGAAAGCTCTTCATTTACTCTGTCTCGAAATATGTCCCAGTCAGTAGATTTATTAAACAGCTTAAGAGGCTGTTCTTTACACACAACAGTCGAACTTAAGGTGACAATAATTGGCGAATGGTCTGACGACAAATCTAGGCTTGCTTTCACATCAATATAGTTTTGACCAATTCCTTTTGTAATAAAGAAATCTAACAAATCAGGAATTTTTTGAGGATCTGTGGGCCAATATGTTGGTTCAGCTGTTGATATAAACTGAAAATTGTTATTGGTGACTGATGTCAATAGTTGTCGACCTCTTGGGTTAGCTAGTCTTGAGCCCCACATGGGATGTTTTGCGTTGTAGTCTCCACCTGCTAAGAACCTGGGGCCAAGTGTATTAAAAAAGTCTGTAAAATTTTGGGAAGTGACGTTATGACGAGGTGGGCTATATATTGCGGATATAGTGAGCGGTCCAGACCTATTTTCTATTACTATACTGGTAGCTTGAAGATGGTTGTGTTGATATTTGGGCAATTCATAATGTGATATGAAGTTCTTAATCAAGATAGCACTGCCACCATGAGCAACGTTGCCTGGGTGGTTTGAGTGGTAAAGTGAGAAATTTGGAATTTTAAAGTAACTAAGATCAGTAAAGTGGGTTTCAGATATAAGCATGACATCAATTCTGTTTTGTATAATTAAAGCTTTAAGTTCTTGGTGATGTTTGACCAAGCCATTGGCATTCCAGAGACCGAATCGTATGAACTGATTCATTTTAACTTAGACACGACAGTGGTCAATAAGTTCAATAGCGAACCTATTTGTTGGGATTGTTGAAGCATCAATTTTTCAAACCGTTCAAAGAAATTTTGAAGAGTTTTGTGTACATCAACCTGTCGCTATCACTGGGAGTGGGAGAATGATTTGAAGAAGCAGCTTGAGCATATGTCAGTTCATGTGACCTTGGCTGAGACGGTGACTGAGATGACTGGTGGGGACCCTTACTGGAAGGCAAATTGTTTGCATTCATGTTTTCATTTGATGAAGACTTTTGTGATTTATTTCTCAAAGGAGGGAAAGTTTTGTTTTAAAGATCTCTGTAAACATTGCAGCCTTTATAGTTGGCAGGATGGTTGCCATTACAAAGAGCACATACAGGAGGTGTATCTCGGGATTTGGTACACGATTTGGTATCATGTTGTTGTCCACATTTGACACATCGAGGTTTGTACCAGCAATACGACTTGGTGTGGCCGTAAGATTGACAGTTCTTACACTGAACTATATCAGAACGTTTAAGTGGGGGTTCAAAGGTAATCTTAGCATTCAACAGATATTCCATGTTGAAAATAGATTTGTTGTCTTCCTTGGGCTCAAGATCAATGAAAAACATGGACAAAGGAGTTTTTGTTTTGAAGTTCCTTGCATTTGTTACGTTTCTCACTTTGAATCCTAGATCTTCAATAGCTACTTTAATATCTCCGGTGTCAGTTGAGTAGTGCATGTTTTTCAGAACTACACGGTAAGCTTTGTCTTGCTTCACCTGATACGTGTGGAAGTTTATTTCTAGAGCTTTAAGTCTGTGTACTAATGCACGGTAAGCATCTACTGACATGGGATTGATCTTAACTTTGTTGTGACTAAGACAGCGGTAGGTGTATCATTCGGAATTACTGTTTCAATTGATGACACCATACTTTTAATATTTACAACATCAGAGATAAATATAGGGGGAGGTTTAGGTTGACGAGGAGGGGGCGAATTAGTTGTGTCATCGTCCATCTGATCACTTGTACTAAGGGGCTCAAAAACATTGCTGGTTTGACAGGTAAAACCACCAGAATTTTGACGTGATTTTTTAGAGTCTTGTTCAGAAGAGGATTTTGATCCTCGTTTTTGGGAAGTAGGGACAGTTTGCCATCCACTAACATCATCATGTTGTAAAATAGATTCGTCAGTACTAGGAGCAACATTATTATTAAATTTGCAGTAGTCATGGTCAACAACAACTTTTTGACTCATATTAGCTTCAGTATAAGACAGCTGATTTGTTTTGGATGGATCCATGTCCAATGTAAACAAAAGAAAGTAAACAAACAAATTTGGAAGAAGGTTAAACGAAAAGAAAAACGTTTTTAACACATATTTCCTCCAAAATATTGATAATTATTAAACACACAACTTAATAATGATTAATAACTTATATTGTTACCCTTTAGCAACGTAACTTGTCCAAAGTTTGAAACCTTCACATAAAATAAGGCACAGCACTAAAACACGTGTATTCAACACAAAATCAAAACAAACTCTTCAATAATAAAATGAAACTGTTAAAAAAAATAACCTAACATAACTAACCAAACATGCTGTGTAACATTTAAAAATTCCGAGTTTAACTTGCCTTTTCTGTTATCAATAGGCATTTTTTTAAAGTACAAGTTTGGTTGGCTATGTTAGGTTAGCTTAGAACAGTTTCATTTCTTAATCCATGGAATAGTCTATTTTAGCCTAAACAAGTTCAGTTGTCAATTTATAATGGATCGGAAAACAAAAATATCGATATATCGAAAAAAATCATCGATAATAATGAATGTTCCCTTTAACAGGAAAGTATACCGGTATCTACATCAAGTCATTGGATAATCAAATTATAATCCTCGCGTCTTTTCTGCAACAGAGACTAGTGATTGTTATTTTATTAAAAACATAGTTTGACCTATTAAAAATAATTTATTCAGTTTGAGTAATGAGTAAAGGTAATTAATTACTGAAATAAATGACAGAATAACCTTATGTCATGCCACCGATTATAAGAAAACATGTTAGTCTATTAATTTTTTCCCAAAACTGCAATCCTTATTCAATGGCCCTTCAAGGCTGTCTGTCGTCTGCTTTGTTGTCATTTACGATTGTCATTATAAAGTGATACCCTATTTATTAGAATCTAGACGAGGCCTAATTTTGAGTTCAAAATATATGGTTTTCTATAATTTTTTTAACTATAAATATAAGCTATAAATGTATATTACTTTGTATCTTCATACAATAACCAGACAGGTTGAAAAGTAGGCATAGTTTCTTGGTAAAATGATCCTGACGTCTCGACGTGCTTTATCTACGAATCGTGAAATTATCCAAATCGAATCTTCATTCTTGTCACACTACATAAGAATAGCCTTCATTGACTAAATTAGTCTACATCTACATTAGACTCTGGATCGTTGGTCAATCATAATATTGTGTTTTAACTTTGTTAACAGCGTTTCAAAGTAACCCCAAAGTCAACCTTTTTCTACTCATGCTTTTAAGCTAAACTAAGAATGTTTAGCCTACAACTTAAAAGTGGCATCAATCTAAGTAGTAGTTTTCCCTACTAACTTAAGAAATAGGCCTAGCCCTTCCTGTGTTTCCCTTAGAAGTGATGTAACTTACATTTTTTTATAGCTAGGTGTAACTTTAATAAAATAAAATGACTTCAGGATCAGCTACAGGTATGTTAAGCTAAATTTATACTTATTAAGTTAATAGCGTACTATAGATCAAATTATGATATCCCAAAATTATTAGCACTATACCTACTACCTACCTAGGAACGGCTACAGGAATAATTTTCCTGGGTAGGCTTGACAATCATGACAATTTTTGGGTAGGCCGAATAAAGCCTTAATAATTATATAACAACAGAGCCACACCCAGTTCGGCTGCAATTTCATAACTGTCCCGCAGAACAATCGAATGAATATACAGTGGAACCTCGATAACAAGACCCTCGATAACAAGTCATCCTTAGAGTGAAAATTTAAAAACGTACGTTTTCAGGAAACACACTTTGCAAATTTTTTTCCCCTTTTTTCAAAACTTTTATTATTTTTTTGATTTTATTAACATTTGAAGTTTCATAAAATGTCCATGGTAACGCAATATCTTTGGTAGTTTTTTTTTTTAAAGAGCATCTTTAGTGGAAAAACACAAAATCCTGTCACGACCATAACGGACGTTTAAATGAATATTAAAAATAGTTAATATTATTTTTATAACTATGTTTTGCTATAAACTAATTTACTTTTATGACCATTATACATTAAAAAGGTCACTGAGCTTTTAGTATATTTGGTCTTTCTAGAAAAAAATAAAAAACTCAAAAAAATTGAAAAAAAGCCAATAATATCTTTTTAAGTTTGTATAACTCCGAAAAAACTTACCTGAGACCCGAAAAATCGTTATGTTTGCATAGAGGTGTGCTTCTTTTGTGTATAAAACATTGAAATATGACGATATTTTAATTTTTGAAATTTTTATGACAGAAATCATAAACGTGATGGTCAGGGACAAGCGGTACGGTCGTGAATTTTATAAAACAATCTAAATCTTTCTAAACAATCCTTTAATTATACTATTAGTTATAATAAAAATATGTGTTTCAATTGAACTAAACTGTTCAAATTACAATTATATTAAAGTTATTGTCACGACCAAACACACTATAATCCATAAGGCTGGATAGGTCGTGAAAAAACCCGCGATGGTCGTGAAACTTTGGTCGTGAAATTACGTGTTATTTGGCTCTGTTCTGGCGGTAGCTCTGCACCTCATGTTCGAGGATACAAAGTGGACTTCTAGGTTAATCTAGCAATTGAAATATCTTATAAACAAAAATTAACACCATGTCTACTTCATCGAATGACTATGTACGGTCATGGACACACCAAAATTACAAAAAACACAACCTTTCCTGTATTAATCTTGTAATTCCTCCTTTCAACTCGAAACGACCGGCACTACAATCCTGACGTACACCCCGAACTAGTCTCTAAAACCAACTGACTCCATCAACGCGAGGCTTGCCACTGTCGTGCTCCAAAGTTGAAAAATTTTCCCAAATGGTCGTGACGCCAAATCGAGGGACAGACTTATTATGTCATGGTAGTCAGTTTGCAATGACAATAAAATTATAATATGCTCCTTTTTTGTAAGTTTAATAACCATTGATGACATAAAAATATGGCTTTATATATTGCTGCATGAATAATTAGTCTAAAAACAGCGTGAAAGTTGGAAAATGTACCCTAGGGACACGTCATGGTCGTGAATTTCGAGACTTTAAAAATACGAAAAAAATACCTAGAACCTATTTAAAACCAAATAAATGTGTGTAACATGTTGCCCCCATCCCAAAAAATATTAAAACACATAATAATAAACTACAAATCCAGTAGCTACGAAGGAAAATGCCAGGGACATGAAAACGTACGTTTTTAAATTTTCACTCCTTAATAACAAGTGTCATTTTAAATCCCCTAGAATTTATTTTACCCCTAAGTTAATTACATGTTATTGCAAACCTCAATAAGAAGATATCGAATTTTGATATATCGATTATTTCATTTGATATAAGTATCAAGTTTGGTTAGTTGGGTTAACTGGTACTACTTTGGTATTATCCAGAGGCCACCCTTATACAGTGTGCTGCGACGGTCAGCTATGTTAGGTTGGGTTATCAAATATGTTTGTAGGACTCCCCTCGTTTTATTATGAATCAAACAATAGGTACTAGTACTAGACTTTCACCCCCCAAATCCCCTCCAAGTAGGCCAAGGTGAGGTCTTTGACCAGAGCGTGCGCATCACCTGTCACCGCCTGTATCTGGTGTGGCAGCTAGAGGGGACGACGCATTCAACTCAGTCCTCACCAACTTCTGGGAGGCAGAACTCAAAGGCCGCTAATTGTAATCATGTCAAATTTGGACAGTAAGTCAATTAAAGTATGTTCTTAACATTTATGATAACCCAACCTAACATAACCGCCGCAGCGCTCTGTATTAAGGTTGGCCTCCGGATGATACGAAAGTACCGGTTAACCTAATCTAACTAAACGAATGAAATAACTTAATCGATATATCGAATAATCTATATATTTATATATTCATTCGATTGTTCTGCGGGACACTTATGAAACTGCACACAGTAAACTAAACAGTAAATTCACAGTTACTGTTGGCTATGTTGTTCAAAGGTTTATTGCGGACATTTTCCATCACGAAAGTAAAAAACAATACACAACGTTTCGGGATCTGGAATCTGATCCCGTCTTCAGGTGAAAAAAACTTAACTAACACATTACAACTAACAATACACAAACGCCCAACCTAAGTTGGAATACACTACCGAGGGTAGTAGTCAAAAAATATGCACTGTATAGCAGTCAAGTCATGATACAACATGCAATTAATAACAAATCACAAAACACTATAATCTATAAAAGGTTTACGTACAAAAAACTCACACAATGGAACACTAACAACACCGTACGTTATGACTCCACCAATGAAACTGAACCAACATGGCTGACCAATCGGAATCACGGAGACAACAGAAATGGCTTCCGGTCCCTGGAAAAAACCAGGGACCGGAAGCCATTTCTGTTGTCTCCGTGTTTCCGATTGGTCAGCCATGTTGGTTCAGTTTCATTGGTGGAGTCATAACGTACGGTGTTGTTAGTGTTCCATTGTGTGAGTTTTTTGTACGTAAACCTTTTATAGATTATAGTGTTTTGTGATTTGTTATTAATTGCATGTTGTATTATGACTTGACTGCTATACAGTGCATATTTTTTGACTACTACCCTCGGTAGTGTATTCCAACTTAGGTTGGGCGTTTGTGTATTGTTAGTTGTAATGTGTTAGTTAAGTTTTTTTCACCTGAAGACGGGATCAGATTCCAGATCCCGAAACGTTGTGTATTGTTTTTTACTTTCGTGATGGAAAATGTCCGCAATAAACCTTTGAACAACATTAACTCACCATCACCAACAATGAACTTCAAACAAAGAACTGTTGGCTAACTCAACTGTTTTACTCAAACTTGAAAAAATGAAAGTTTCTGCAAAAGAAGGAAAGCCCAGAAGAAAGTATATTTTTGACTCATATCTTGGTTTAATGTTTAACCATTTTTGTAAGCTATATAAAAACAATTACATTTTGGGATTGGTCATTACAGTGTGTCTTACGGTAGCCTACGTTATCTGTGGTTGTAGTAGTTCCAGACTCCTCCGCTGCAACGCAGCGCTTAACACCGTCTTGTTAAGCTGTCAGTCTCAGTTGGTTGAGTCGCTTCAGCCTAAGCGAACAGAGCAGGTTGGAAACCTGCCTGGGTCTCCTAGTACCAAGGGAAGTTAGTGTCAGTGCACAGGCATATGATGTCGGCATCCTCAGGATAGGCTCTTGGCACAAGCTGCCACGAAACCCAAGAAATGCTCCGGTGTGGCGGGACTATGCCTTTATAATAGGGAGGATCTGATATGTGTTCTTGTGCTCTTACACTAGGTACCCGCTTTGCTTTTTGGAAGGTCAAAACAAAGCCCAGCTTTTAGGCGATTTTATTTTTGCATTATTTTAATAAAAACCTTGCATTGTTCACCTTTTTCATAATTTCTATACTCTATTTACCTACACTAAAAAAGTGAGTTATGGTATACTGTATATTTATTATATACAGAAAATCCTAAAGATTCAAAATACATAAAATCATAAAAATACCGAAAAAGATTTTTTCCAAATCAGACTGTTCTTAAGTTAAGTAAAAAAAGTTTCCCTTAAACACTTTTTGAAGCAGTCCAAACCCATTAAACATTTTTGGATGCGCCGGGCCAAACTTGTTCCTCCTGCACCGAAGTCTGAGACGCTAACTACTGGGCTACATAATAACAAACTTTGTAAAAGAAAAACTTTTTAAACTTTGAGTTTAAAAGTGACCGTAGGGAAAAGAGACTCAAAAAGTAACCCAAATGAGCTTTTTTGTACAGGTAACCCAAGAAATAAAGTGGCGTTAAAGCCTGGACATTCTTTGATGGATTGGATTCGCCTCGGAAACTCAGGGAAAGACTTGACAGGGACGGGTGGAGCCTACCTTAGTGTGACAAAGGCACAGTTGGCCCAACATAACAAACCTGATGATGCTTGGCTTTCGATTAGAGGTAAGTGTAAAAATTTAACTTGTAAATTCTTCATACCAGTCTAGAAGTGACATTGAACATAAAAGACTGGTGAACTTTCCTTTCTTTATAAGCCAAGTTAAAATAAGCATTAGGTCCGATTTGAGGTACAATAACAATCACAGAATTCTTTTAATTCTTTTAGTATAGAAGAAACTCTGAGCCGTCCACTGTTTATTTTAAGGGGGCCTATCCCACTAAGCGCTGCTCGGACAGTTGAAACCCTCATAAGTTTCACAATAGAGCCTACTGTGATAGGATTAAAACCTTTAATATACGGTGCTCTCTTCTTCTCATAAATACCAACACCATGGATTGCTCGGGGTTATTGTCCACCAGATTGCTCACATACTTTTTAGCTGTTGATTTTTAGTCACATTTGTAGTTTTTAAATGAAAGTTTGGTTGCTGTTTGAGGCTTAAAGCTGGGGTCCCCAACTGTTTTCCCTTGAGGAAAGCATTGTACATTTTTGGAGGGAAGGCGGGCCTTAGTCATCTTCCTGTTCAGTGCAGAAGGTTTACCCTTACCCTCCAAAGCATAAATTCACCAAGTTGCTATCCAAGATTCCATATATAGGCCTAATAAAACACAGGACGACACAATTTTCCTGTCTACTATAACATTCACTAAAAGAACTTTTAATTATTGTAATAGAAATAAGAAAAATTCACAACACAGGTTTACAACAAGTGTAAAGTGTAAAATTAAAAACACAGCTATTTTTTGAGAATATTGCATTTGCCATTAAAAATTTAAGCTCATTTAATGCAATTTTCAGTTCTTTTAGTAAGGTTTGATTTCAAACACCCTTCCTACTTGGCTCTGTATTTAGACAGTAACATTTTATAGAACCAGCTTGTATTAGAGCAAAAGCCTTTACTCTTTTAAGTTTTTACGCGAGTTGCGTACACCTACCTACGACAAGTTTTTAATTACTTACAATCACTATTATAACCTCCCATTGCCACTGATAGTGATGCACAACTCATTGTACCAACCAACCATTAACAATTAAATTGGTCTCAACAGCTGATAACTTGACTTTCAAAGCATTACAATTTTACTTTTTTTCTCTCAATCCTTGAACCCTCATTGGTCTGTTACTAGTGTTGTTAATAATAAAAAAAAAAATGATGTAAAGTAGTAATGGGACAAAGGACTGATTCATCCGATAGTCTTCAGATGGATGATTCATCTTAAGGTAGTGGGGTGGGGAGCGTCTGTGCTGCTTCCGGAGACAAAACTATCCAACTAGGGAATGAATCGATAAACCATCGATAAACCATGCGCGCCTGATCAGATAGATAGTTTTGGTATTGTGGCATTTGGCATTCCTATACAGCGCCATATTTCGTAGAATTTACCCGGATGAATCGTTTGTTTCTTTCGGATAGTTCCCATCACTAATGTAAAGTAAATAAACACAATGCTGTGTAAATTAAATCTTATCAATTCTAAGAACTGAATTGAAACGGCTAGGTCGTATGTCAAGTGAGGAAACAATGCTTTGTAAAGTGAATCTTATCAATTCTAAGAACTGAATTGAAACGGCTAGGTCGTATGTCAAGTGAGGAAACAATGCTTTGTAAAGTGAATCTTATCAATTCTAAGAACTGAATTGAAACGGCTAGTTTAGAAAATGGTCGTAGGTCAAGTAAGTAAACAATGCTTTGTAAAGTAAATCTTTTCAATTTTAAGAACAGAATTGAAAGGGCTTAACGGTTGAAGATAAAAATTTTTATGGCATTACTTGTTAGTTCTAGGCACACAGGTAATTAATTCACTTCCTTTTTTCAGGCAAAGTATACAATGTGACAAGTTATATGGACTTCCATCCCGGAGGACCGGAAGAGCTGATGAAAGGAGTTGGCACTGATGCTACTAAAATATTTAACGATGTAAGTTACAGAAGTGATACATTATATTTACGCGTCCAACCAAATAAATACCTCAAAAAGGCATGCATATTTAATAGATCAATGAACCAGGCTGCAAGCTTTATTGACAGCTTGTAGGTTATATCCTATAACCAGTTAACAGGCCAAGCTAATACCTTTCATAATTTGGTTCTTATATACCAAAATAATTAGATATAAATTAATAAAATTGGCTAAGTTAATTACCACAACGTTTTATTAATTTTGTTCTCTTTCATGTTATTTTCGGAAAAGAATGTAGTTCTAAATTTAAAAGCAGAAGCATAGACTACGAGAATAGAGAAAACAGGCAGTCTCGCCACTCGCCAGTCGCCGGTCGCCGGCTTGCAATTGCAGCACTAGCATAGCAGTTCAACGCCAAATTCTTGTTTATTATTCCTCCTCCTACCGTACTCCCTACGACTGCCCGTGCTCATTGTGTAATTAATTAAACATGACATAAACATGAAAATTGTCTACCTAGCAGCCGCCGCGGGATCCATCCAAAACTCAAATATTCTCAGAATGAATTTTTAACAAAGGCATTGGACTTCTTATAGGTTTTTTATTCATTGCTATTACATAACTATTACTATTCCTGCACAATGTTAGTCTAGGGCTATAGAGCCTATCCTAAACAATACAGCAATAATATTTTTGGAATATAAAATACACAAATTATTCAAATTATACATTCTCCATATTGAACCTCTCACAGTTGCAATCAAAAGGTTCATCTCACATTCGAAAGAATGACAAACTCTTATGCAAATTACGTACAGGATGAAAAACCTTTTAGTTTACTAATAAAGATCATTAACTATAATTATTTGAGGTTAATACTTTTTTTTATGATAATTTTAAGAATGTTCTACTGGTTGTAATGTTAATGTGTTTTATACACAGGTGCATGCGTGGGTCAACTACGAGTCTATACTACAAAAATGTGTGGTTGGACAGCTCAAACCAGCGTGTGACGAAGACATCGATATAACAGCATCTCTCTCTCCTCCAGGCACTCCTACGAATCAACTACAGGTCAAATCTGCAGGTATTGATAATCATTACTTGGTAAAGTAAATATATGCTATAGAGTGAAGTAAAGAAGTTGCTTGGTAGTACCGGTACTAATTTTGATATTTTATCTAACCCGCCATGTTAAACTTCCCTATCCCAAGCGTGATGTATACAACTTCCTTACTTCTCGAGTGATGTAAAGTATCAAAAACTCACTCGGTGATGTAAAGAAACCCATTTAAATAACATTGAGTGCTTAACTTAAAAAATATAACTCTATGGAGCCAACGACGTTCAACGCTAGAAATCAGCTGTGCGCTTGAATGTTATTGTTATGCTTTAAAGTATTTTCCTACCTAACCTAGCTTTTGTTAGTAAAAGAACGTTACTGATAGAAGATGAGTGAAATGGATAATGAAAAATATTGTACGTAAACCCATGTATATTGTCGGGTCAGGTAAAATCTTGTACGTTACACGTTACGCAAGAGCGTGTTTACATCACTTAGGTGAGTTATGCAACTCGCTTCCGCTCGTTGCACAACATTCACCTGCGTGAAGTAAAAACGCTCTTACTACACTTGTAATGTAAATAGCTATTGTTACTATATTCTATCTAGGCAAAGTGTCATACATTATTTTGACTTATAATACATGTACTCTTCCCACTTTGGGGAGCGAGTTGGCCAAGTGGTTGAGCACTGTACTTCGATTCCTGACGTCCCGGGTTCAAATCTCGACAAAAAACCAATGGATTTTACCTAAGTGAAAAATCCGTAACCCATGGGTCTACCCTGTGAGAAATGTAAAAAATGATACCTAGCTAGTGCCTAGGACCAAAAATTCCTCTTCCCACTTTAGAATAATGAGTGAAATACCTTCTGCTATCCCTCATTGGACTTGTAGCAGAGTTGGTTGAGAGTAGGTATGTTTTACGTATAAACAAATAAATTCTAGATAAAAAATTATCAAAATTAAAAATTAATGTTAGAAAAAAGTACTGGAGTTCTTTTACATTTGACTGAACTAACCATTTAGGTAATTTATGTTTGTTGTGGTTCTTTGTTTGGGATTTTTTTGCAACAATTTCAACACCCAAGGCCCCTTTCATACTCTGCGGCACGCTGCAACCGTAACAGTGCGGGGGCTGAAAGGGCTGCCAACTTAAGGATTTCTATTCACCACAAAAAGTTGCAGCAATTGTAGTGATGCTAGGATAGAATACTATAAATAGTATTAGAAATGAAAAGCATTAAAATTTACTTAAATTTTAATAATACTTCTGGGGTGGAGCACCCTACTAAAACTCAGACTATAGATAACTAGCTGTAACCCGCGGGTTTTGCCCCGTTTAACTTCTTAATTTTCAAGATGATCTCGTTCGCATGGCTCAATCACGTCCTGGTTGAAGTTCGTTCGCTACGCTCACTCACCTTTAGGTTGGAGCTCGTTTGCTACGCTCACTCACCGTTAGGTTGGAGCTCGTTTGCTACGCTCACTCACCTTTAGGTTGGAGCTCGTTCGCTGCGCTCACTTGCCTTCAGATTAGCTTGTTCGCTACGCTCACTTGCCTTCACGTTAGCTCGTTCACTACGCTAACTCGCCTCCAGGTTGAAGTTCGTTCGCTATGCTCATTCGCCTTTTGGTTGCAAATTAGCTGTTGTCATAAATGTAAAAGAAATAATAGTGCTGCACCCTGTTGGTAATCCTTGTAACTTTAATGCTATTGAACATCATAGAACAGAACCAACTTGTTTTATTGAAACAGCTGTTAAGATTCGTTAATTCCATTTCTCATAAGGTTAACATGGGAAACTCCAGAGCCATTGGGGTGGAGCCGATTGGACGGATCATGAAATTGTTAATGTATAAACCTATTCCATGAAATTCTTCACGTATGTTCCAAGTTTCGTGGCAATCGGTTCAGCGGTGTCTGAGTTTATCACTGCCAAACAAATATATATATACAAACATTCTATTTTATACTTATAGATAGATACAACAATATAAATTAGTTTGTTAATGATAATAGTAAGCCTAATAGGCCTAACTAATTATTATTGTATAGTAAAATAATTTTTTCAGAGTGTAATCATTAATCAATCATTCTTTAAAATTTAATTTTTAAAAATGCAGCTTTGTGTTGAGGAGGCATTTGTACTTTCAGTGCCGCTGCTGCGGCTTGTCGCATAGAGTATATAAAAGCTACCATAAAACGCAACACACTTTAAATCCACTTTCATCTAGACCGCCGTAGGTTCGCCATCGCACAACTAACCCACCGCACGGTATAAAGCTACTATTTAACTCAATGCACTTACAGAGACACAGGTTGCAGCAGTGTGCGGCGTACGGTGTATGCCAGAGTATAAGAGGGGCCTTAACACATCACTCCATCTAATGGATTATGGAATTTATTTATAATTACATTGGTGCTTTTGAATACCCTGTACGTAGAAGTTATATAGGATTTTTTGGAAGAAAATATTAGCATGTGTTGTGAGGAAACCAAAGGTATTTGAAAACCTAGATTATAGTGGATTAATTAAATTGTTAAGTGTTTCTCAAATTTTAAAAGTTCTTTTCCTTTCCAGCCAGTTTACCAAATGGAACTGCTCAGAATAGACCTTTTCAGATGGATTGGTTCCAACAAGTTGGTTCAATATGTCTGGTTTTCTATACAAAAGTCCCAAGCCCTGATGTAAGTATCAGTTCATCTTAAATTTTACTCTTCACAATAATGGTATTTTCCTTTTTAAATTTTTTAAATATTCATTTGTGATTGTAGTTTTTAAATGGTAAATAAGACTCATAGCAATTATTTAGTTTACCAAGAGGGAACTTTATTAAAGTTTGTGTAGTATGAGTTTTTAAAATTATTTTTTATAGCTGACCTTTACGCTTTTCCGACCTTCCTGAGCCTGATTGGGTTAGAAAATCGAGACATACATGTTATGAACACCTTATGAAGTAATAATTGTACCACATGTACTATTTTCAGTTTCGTTTTAAAGGAAAGCCTATTGGCAATATTTTGAAGAGAAATAGAGTCCACCTGGTTCACCAGAGAAAATAATAGTCCAAGGACTAATAGATGCACAATAAACTATGTTAATATGTTTGTCAGGTTAAGTTAAATAAAGTGTCATCCGGCCCGAACTTTGCCTGGATAGATGAAGATATTTTAATTTCATTTTAATAAAAGAACTCAAAATAACACTGATATTTTGTCCTGATGTTAGAATTTTTCAGAGAGTAGGTTGAAGTGGAAAACAACACAACATACATCTGTGTTATGTTTGTATTATCTAATTGTATATCTATTGGTCGCTGGACTCTAATTTTCTCAAGTAACCTAGGTGAACTCTATTCCCTTTCCAAAAAATTCTTATTTTTAGTTCCAAAGTGCTAAAGTATAAATCAGACTTAAACTAAGTATAACTATACATCAGCTGATTCCCACAGGTACATATTCAGCTGGAAGGAGACAGTTTGCTCTGTCTCAGGATAAACAACAAGAATCAACACTTGCGGTTGGAGTCCTCGGTCAGTTGGCCTTGCGGGGTCACAACCGACGCTGCTGGCAAAGTTCAGCTGCGATTGAAGAAACTAAAACCTGGCCTGTGGTCTCGCTTTGGCTCTTTTGAACCTTCCACAAAGGACATTGCAGAGTTTTGGGAAGCGTCTGTGATTAATATTGTGACTGTAACGCACAACACGTACCAGATTGATTTTGCGTACACGGAAAATGTATACAACCACATCCCGGTCGGTCATCATGTCACCGTCAAGGCTGTGGTTAATGGTAAGCCATACTTCCCGTAGTAAGATTCGTAAAATTTTGTCAATAGGGAAAATATTACATTTAATTTACTTTCTCCCCATTTATTAAAGAATAAAAGTTGGTTTTCCAAATTTTGATGTGTTTATAAGAGATGTTGAACAAGTACAAAAATGGATACAGCCAAATAATTCGACTCCATTGAGTAACACTTAACTCTGCAACACGTTTTTATCATTCATTGTTGAAATGTAAATTTTTTATATATTTGTCAATTAAGCACCGAACGAAGTAATATACTTTCTTCCAATAGGTTTTATGATGAATTAGGATCAAAAACTTATTTGGTCTGACCAGTTTAACCAAAAAAACCCATTTCAACTTTAACTATTAGTTGAATTTAATGCTACAGTTTAGTGTCATAAAACTAATCTAACCCTTAAACCAAGTAGAATATAATGTACTCTAAATTTTTTATCATTCCTTAATCCCATACATACTAAATGCTCTCTTGGATAGACCAAGCAAGTCTTCGTTCTTTCAACATAGACATCTCATATAATTTTATATAATCTCATATAATAGACATTTAAATATAATTTGTAAACCATTAATACTTCTTCTTCCCCGCATACAGAAGGTGAAGAAGCAGTGCTCCGTCCCTACACTCCTGTAACGAGTCTGGCTGGTATCAATATTCCTCCAGTGAACACAGTGCGTCTGCTAGTCAAGAGGTACTCGGAGGGTCGTCTGAGTGCTTGGTTGACCTCTCGACCTCTGGGCGCTCGAGTGTCGCTCAGTATACCTCAGGGAAGCTTCTCCTTGACCCCTCTCCGAGGCAAGACGGACCTAGTTCTGGTCGCGGCTGGAACAGGCATCACACCCATGGTGTCCCTTATAACATGGGCACTGAGATCCACCAGGTTCGTATGTAATGTTTAAGATGAGTAGTGAGAGTCTTTGGGTCAGTGTAGTGTTAGATAACACACTTTGACTATGAAGACGAGACATGCAAGTCTCATTGTAAAGCCGTAGCCAATTTAAGAATATAAATACTGACGAAGTTGAATCAAGCCAGTCATTGGCCCACTCCGTGATTTCTATGGTGTATAATACCTACCTACCTACCTTTTCATCGAGCCAGGCTACATCTGGTCCTTACTTCAATAACCAAAGTCAATGCTTGTGCCCATCATATTGTAAGATATGGTACAAAGTTGTGTTAAAAATTTGAAATGTGGGGTTTTTTACCATTCACTCAACTTTAACGCACATGTTAAGTGTGGTGAAATTGTGAACATTTTCCACTGTCAATGAGATATTATCACCATCTTCTGTAATGGCTACTAATTCATAAACAATTCCTGTGATTGCAGTGAGATTAGTAACACATGCAATGCTAGTTAGGTTAGGAAATAATTATTTTAGGTTATTATTTAATTATTTAGGTTAGGAAATTCTCACACTGTAAAAACTATGACTACACCATTGCTTACAACATTGTACTAAACGTATATTGAATTTTTTCTTCATTACTACTAGGTATGCTTTATTAACCATTGATTTTCTTGTTTCAGATTAAAAGTTTGCCTGATATTTTTCAATAAAACTGAGAAAGATATAATCTGGAGAGAACATTTAGACAAACTTGCAGAAGAAAACTCAAGGTAAGTTTTCCAAAATGTCATTTTGTTTTATTTTGTAGCACAAAATTAAAAAAAAAAAAAAACAATGTAGGCTACCAAAACATAGACGGTTTAGATTTTTGCTGTATAATTCAGTTTTGTTTTTGTGACAGTATCTCAGCAAACAGTTCAATGTGCACTTTAATAAATAATGAATCCTTATTCTTGATGTGATTAAATTTCCGTACTTCATGAAAATTCCCAATCAATATCATCTATCTTCTTTCTCTTACATATTATGATCAGTGTACAAAATTTAAATAAGCATATGTTTTGTCATGTTGACACCGCAAAAACATTATCCCTTTCCTCAGGATTGTGAACTTTAAAGAGCTACAACAACGTCAATATGTTCAATGGTTGTACTCCTATCACCATCAGCCACATTTTACTCATATTAACTTGACAATTAATTATAAGGCTAGTCTTATAATTAATTAGATTTATGTTTTTGTAGTTACGAGAATTCAGTAAGAATGTTTTAACTGTCTGAAATTATTTTCTAGGTTTATTGTCGACTACGTCTTATCAGAGCCTGATACCAAATGGACAAACAAGACTGGACATGTTAGTATCTCCCTACTTCAACCCCATCTCCCAGCATGCTCTGCTGACATCCCTAACTCAACTTACGTCTGCGTTTGTGGACCGACGTCTTTCACTCGACTAACCGAGAGGTAAGTTGAACTGAAGCAATCCGAACTGCTAAAACTTTAACGTTAATAATTTTTGGCCAAAATATGCCAATAGCTATCCCATTTATTGCATTTTACTTGTGGAGTGAAATGGCTTCATTACTTATTTATGATGATGTGGTGATTGAGTAACTTCAACTATGAAACCCTGTTCTTATCATCTTTTGCAATGAATAAATTGTCTGCAAATTAAGGTTTACATAGTGCCAAGTGAGCTATAACTGGTACCAGTGCTTGGTTTTTTACTTCTTCCTCTAAAATTCTTGCCGGTTCCTGACCTTATGTGACAATTAGTCCCAACATATGATATCAATATGAGAGAAAATTGGCGCCTCCACCAATTATGAATCACTTTCTGTGATTAAATTTTAAATGAATTCGAAATAATTTTATTTGCCCTTCATATTAATTTGATTTTGGTATTCATTCAAATATATAAGATAATGTAGGCATCATGGCACTATTAGAAGATTAATTGCTATATGTTTTTATAGGTGCCTAAAAGAAGACTTTGGTTTTACTGTAAACGACTACTACTGTTTCCTGGGCCAATAAACTTAAACTACAGAAATTTTAACACATAGAAAGTACAGATATTTTTTAAACAGTTGATTTATACTTACTTAAGTAGGAAAATATATTTATATACAATCTTTTACCTATTTGATGCACTTTGTACTTCTCCTAACACTGTTAAATGTTGTAATAAATGTATTGGTTTTTTACTAAAAACTGTTTTACTATCCTCTTTTAGTGATGTATCAAAACCAAATCTGAAATCTTAAAACCACCAAAACTTTGGAAGAGTTTCGTTCTGGAGGTTCGATAGGTAGGTTTTAAGATTCAAGAGTCAAAACCAAGTCTGCCAACATTTCTTTGTCATAGATCATTGACATACATGTAGACATAATATTGACCACTATATAAATATTTGAGTTAATTTCATATCCATATTATGTCAGTGGCAGGAGTTTGATATTTATTTAAGAGTTTCTTGTTTGTAAAAATTAACGTTTCTAGGTTCGTTTAAGTTTAAAGCGAATTAATGTAATAGTTATATATAGCCTACCCTGTTTTTATGACAGGGTCAGAAGTCCAATTCCTTTTAGTTTTGATTGCATAACAAGTTCTATTTATTTAATTTATTGTAACCTTAACTAGGCAAGTAAAAAGTTTTGCATTTAGGTTTTGAGATTCGGAATATGATTTTTAAAGGTTTGGTTTTGAGATTTGTAATTTCTGGTGTTGACCATAATTTTTTTTCAATATTGAAATCTGTTTCAAGTGTTAAAGATAAGTAATATAATTAAACTAAATTGCAAGGCATATACAGGTGTCTTGTAAGTAAATACAAAATTTATTTAGGAATAGAATTAATTGGTCAAAATAAAAAGGAAATCAAGAATAAGGTTTTTTTTTTCATAAATGTGTCGTTAGCAAGATAAATTGTTTCCCATTTTCTCATTTAGGCCTATATTTTTAAAAAGTATTTTAATTTTTTAATACAAAAAAATTCTAATTTTATGAAAAAATTCCAAGAACACGTTAGTTAATTTACCATTTATAATTCCAGATAAAAACACCATGTATAAAAACATTGAATAATATCTAACTAAAACAATTTTAGCTGCACAGGCCAGGCAAAATTAGGCCATGCAGTCAGGTTGGCCTCATTTTACGCTTAAAATTTGTGTTTGATTTCTCAGCTATTTATTATTAGGTAGATGTTTTTAAACTTGGTGTCTGAACTTGATAGGGAATTTAAAAGCTAAATAGGAGCTAGTGTTCTTGGCATTTTTAAAACTTCTGTTTTTCAAATTTAAGCTATGCCTATACAAATTTAAATGGCCGCTATCTTGGAAACCAAAAATATTTTCTTATTCGTAGTTTTTTCTGAATTAAATTATGACTTGATAAAACTTGCAACACCAAATTTCATAAAGATATCTTGAATAGTTTTTGAAATATAAATTTTAAACACAAATAAAAGGTATCAGTAATCTGACACGTACTTTCTCCCATTAGCTTGCCAACAACCTTTATCAATAAATTAACTATGATATTTAATAGGTAAATTTTGCATTAACTTTTGAACTGCAATTTTCACAGTAATGGGAGATTGTACTACATATTTTTTTTAGAATTATAAGGACCATAAAAGACAAATTTTAATCAGAATCGATTTTCTTTTGGAAAAATCCATTTTTCCGGTTTTTTCTTGAGGTTTTATGGGAAAATAACATAAGTTACAATAACTTTTGAACCGTAATTTTTACAGGAATATGAGTTCTACAATTTTGTTCAGGATTAAAAGGACTACAGTAACAAAACCGTTCAGGCCATTTTCAAGAAAATCCTATATTCCGTTATTTTATGGGTTTTTATGGAAAAATCACCATTTAAAATCAAAATTTCAATAAAATTAAAAAAAGCCTGGAGATACAATGGACACTTATATAGGCCTACTGAATTTCATAAAAATCGGACTACAGGTGTGGTCTACTCCGAAAACCACTTTTTTGGGTTCAGGGGACCCAAAACGGATGTATCCACTCAAAACTCAAACTCAAAAATATTAACAAAACCAATACTTTCTCCATAATATGCTATGTATAGGGGGGAAAAGTGACCAAAAACGGATATATCCACTCAAAACTCAAACTCGAAAATTTGGACAAAAACAATACTTTTTCCATATACTATGTATAGGGGGAGAAAGTAAAAACAAAATGGCAAATATCTTGCTCACGAGTTATTTTTGGAAAAAATGTTAATTTTTGTTTTCTTTTTATTTTGACCCATTAAACCTATTCTCCTGATTTTTTTACTTAAGGAACATCTTGTATACATATTCTTAACTGTACATAGTTTAGTAAAATGGCCAAAACGGCACACGGAAGATTTCTCAGGTGCCGTTTGACGTCACTAACTACTGACGTCACTTTGAGGGAACACCATTACCGCAACGATACGGTTTGAGCCATCGGCCTCGGTGGTGTAGTGGATAACGTGTCGGGCTGATAATCCGAATGTACCCGGTTCGAATCCCGCTGGTAGCACTAACTTTTTGTCAACAATTGTTTTCATATAAGCAAGTTTGGTTGGTTTGGTTAGGTTATGACAGTTTAATTTTATAATTAAAAAATAATGAAATTGAATTTTAGGCATTTGTAATTTTATTTTATGAACAAAACTATTTTTTAGATTAGTAAACCTTTATAAGAAAGTATTAAAAGTATTAGATTTTTTCATTATCAGCACGTTTGGTTAGTTTGGTTAGGTTATGAGTTATGACAGTTTAATTTAATAATAGAAAAATTATAAAATTGTTTGTTTCTTCAGACGCAGCAATTAGTGACGTCAAACGGCACCTGAGAAATCTCCCGTGTGCCCCACCGGTAAAATGGCTAATTTTTTCATACCATACTTAAAAATCTGCTGTTTTTAAAATCAGCAGTTCAATTAACTATGAAAGATATGTTACAATTAATTTAGTCATGCAAGAAACCCACGACACTTTTAGAAATTGTTTTTAAAAACACTATAATTATGAAAAACATGGTCTGCGCCCTAATAACTAGAAAAAGTTGATATTTAAGGAGTAAAACTGTATTTCACATCAGTTAATGAAGCTCAATTGAACTAAGTAATTTTTTGTGAAAAATAACTTGCTCTAACTTAAACTTGAAAATGGAATGACTATTTTCACCGTACTTAACAGTCCAAATACTACTACAGACTTTTGGATGCTGACCTACATCCCATCTATGTGGACCAGGTGTAGCCAATTATTTATTTAAAAAGAACAGGAATGAGCCACTGAAAGAGTGTGGTACAGTCTAAAGTGTAAATCATATTTCTTCCCTTAGTTTTTGGTATCCTAACTGTAACAGTTAATTTGACGTAAAGATGCTAAAGCTTAAGTCTGGTCAGTTTGGTTTGGTAAAAAAATTGGCTTGTTGGACATAGAAATCAGTAATTTACTTTAACACAATCTTTCTGCAGTTAAATTTAGCTATGCTTATTTTTTTATTTTTCCATAGCTAAAACTTTTACACGGGAATAGAATATCTAGTTATATTCTAAATATTCAAAGCTTCTACTGATTTTAAGAAAAATACTATAAAAATGTAGCTATAAGATCAAAATGTTATGTGTACTACTTCTTTGTTTGAAATACACTTTTTCTGAAACATATGTTTTATTTACAATCTACAAAAATGGTTCAGATCATCTGACTTTCTATCAATATTTTGTTTTCTCTTATTCAGTTTATCTTAAAATTCAAAGTTTATTGTAAATTATGGTTAATAATTTTGCTTAGAAAATTTACCCCACAGAAGTTTTACGATCATGGAGGGATCACCGAACCAACCAAATGTGAGTTTAAAATAGATTCTTGTCAAAAACATGTTTCTGGCTATAAGTGGCCAAAATGCCAATATTGTCTAATTTTTTTGTGTTAACAACTTTAAATAAACTTGTGTTACTGCATGTATTAAATTCTTTAAGGAATATGATTGTCTAGATTCTTAACAGAAACATCTAATAAACTTGTATTTGCCACCAACTAATTAATAACGTAAATTACATCACAAGGAAGCTTTTAAGGGAGTATTTGGCCCCTCTTAATATTTTGATATTGCCATTGTCTATGTTATTAATAATTTCCATTTCAATCTGATTTGTTCTTAAGTAAAAAAATTGTTTTATTAATATGCATCCATGTGTATACATAATTTTGTGTGTGAGGTAAAATATTTTGGTACTTTCCTGTTAAAGGGAACATTCATTATTATCGATGATTTATTTCTCGATATATCCATGTTAACGAATTGAAACCTATCAGCTGACAACTACGATAAATAAATATTGTTCATTATCAACACACAATGATTAAAAAAAATATTGAAATGAAACTGTTCTAAACTAACCTAACAAAACTAACCAAACCTGCGGTAACATTTAAAATCCGTTTAATATTCTTCACTTGTCTTTTCTGTTACCAAACGGAATTTTTAAATGGTACAGCAAGTTTGGTTGATTATGTTAGGTTAGTTTAGAACCGTTTCATTTCTTAATCTATATAATAGACTATATTTTAGCCTAAATAAGATCAGTTGTCAATTTGTAAGGGATTGTAAAGAAAAACAAAAACATCGATATATCGAGAGAAAAAATCGCATCGATAATAATGAATGTTCCCTTTAACAGAAAAGTACCAACATTTTTTAACCATTCAACTTTAAAGTACTTTTACTGATAAGCTACTGGGTAAAAAGGCTTCTTTTCATTAGCATGGTTTTGTAAACTCAATAAGGATATTTTTTTACTGTCAACATATATTTTTGACAGATCACAGAACAGAAAAAGCACTACGATGATCGAATAAGAGCAATAGAAGATGCAATCTGCAATCTTTGTGTAAGTAAATGTTTAAGGGCTAATTAAATGGTATAAAATGTGGTTTCTTCAATTATGTCAATCCAATATAAAAAAAACCTCAGAGATAAAAATAAAAAAAATGGGTTTTGTTTATTTTTTAATTGTTAATTCAGGACTCATACAACTGTAAATACAAATACACTGATAAATATAAATCTTACATTAAATGAAATGAAATTGTAGCTAACTTTATTGTAAGCTAACAAAAGTGGCAGTATGCATTGTACTTAGCACTTATGAATCTGTAAGGAATCAAACTGTATTTTAAAATATTTGAGTTGGTCGCATAGCCTATAATAAGTAATTAATTGATAAAAACAATAGCATTTGGTACAAAGAACATCGCCCTAACGGAAAAACTGACAAGCAAAAATCCACGTTCGCGCAACACCTGGTTGATAACAATCACGACTTACTTGATTTGGACAACGGCTTAGAAATTCTACACGCCTGTATTAATGGAAATAGATTAGATACCCTTGAAGAGTATGAGATTTATAAAGCTCATAAAATAAAAAGCAGCAATGAGCCCATACTAAATGATCAATTACAGTTTAAATCCCACACCATTTTTAATAACATTATCAAACGGAGCAAGCCACAGACAAGGGATCAAAGTCCAGCAGATAATACCGTCACAGCTGGAACGAACTAGCAGTTGTCCAAATGTCCAGTCAGCTTCCGTACTCGTAACAATCATGTACGCGACAGGCCTGTCTCTTGTTTTAAGTGTTTTTGTGTTTTTATCGTGTTCGTGTATGTGTAAAGTTTAACGACGCCAATTCAGGTGGATGTATGTATATCTGAGGATGGCATTTTAATGCCGAAACAGCTGTAATCTACAGTACCTAACAGTAACTACAGAGCTGTGACGAGGTATTTATATTATATTAGTCATCAATTCAGCTCAGGGGCTAAACCATGTCTATTGAATATATTATAATTTGTTAACAAAATTAACACTGATTTTTATTTACCTTTTTAGGGTCCGTCATGTGGAACATGTACTCAAGTAAGTATATAGCTGTAAAATAAAATTATTCTTAAATTGTGAATGGATATTTTTGAAACTTTCTTGCAACTTCATATTAGGCTATATGAGTTAATAGCCAAGTAATGTCCAAAGTATATGGGCAGACACGATCAACATGATATTTAGGCTAAGGATCAGTAGATATCGTCTTTCTGATTATGAAGGAGGGTAAGGACCTTGATCAACTTTGACCGGGATGCTGTCTAAGTCATAAAATAACTGACTGTCATAAAATGTTTGAGCCCTGAGGGCTTAGGTCACATGTTGGGCTGACTTGATGTAATGTGACAAACAATCTCATGTTTTGTGTCCAACAAAGTAGAGGACATTTTAAAATGAGTAGTCTGATATATGCAGGAGTCTCAGGCTACAGGCTGGCCACATGTGCCTAAAAGCATTTTCTCTCCTCTCCCTAAAAAAATTCCCAACTCTCCCTAAAAGAGGATTTGAGTAAAGGGATTTCCCCCTAGACATATCTGTTCCAAAGATATCTTGAGGATTGTTCTTGTGGCAAATTTCTTGGGTATTAAATATCATTGACAAATTCTAGTGATGACTTTAATATTTCGGTGTGTTTTGTCCTATTGGAAAGCAAAACTGATAAATCCTCATGCCTCATGGACAATGAATCCCTACAGTTATTTTATAGACAGTTTAATTTTAATTACAGGATGCCAGACAGCCGCCGGACGAATCATGGATGGCTGATGGACGATTTCATGCTGCTCAACAGGCTCCCAAGAAGACCGAGGGAAGATGGGTAGCTGAGTCTCCAAGGCAGCCGGCAGGTGCTGCACAATGTGTGAGCAGGATTTACTTTGATCAGAATGACTTAGTAATCAGTAGCTATGCAAAAGGAAAATCTTATATGTTTAGTACAAAGAGTGGCCAGCTGACTGAGTTTCTGAATGAACCACTTTCTGGACAGTGGTCGTAGTTTTAATCACACTTAGATGATTAAGCAGTGTTAGAATCTGCAAAGGATTTGACTCTTGTCTGGAGAGAGCTTGGTTAATAGGATAATCAACAAAAAGGGTGGGGGGATATAAAAGTATTAAGGTTTCTAAATGTTACTGCTCCACCATATGTTTCGGAAACTGCATTGATACAGGGTTTAGGAAAAAGCAAACATGTCAGTGAAATAAAACAAAATCCTGAACTTACAAATATTTTAAAGTTAGTTTCTGATAATAACTGCTAATTAATATACCTTTATCTATGATTTTTGTGCTGAGTGCAATTACACAAACAAAAAATTAGATATATGCAACCAAGTTTTGGCTTGATGTACTGTTGTTTTTTTTTTTAAGTTAATAAACTGGATTACTGATAAAAAAAATTAAAATGTAAGTTCGTGCTCTTGGCAATCCATATTGCACTCAGCAACTAGGTTAGGCCTTTTCTGTCATGAATACCAAAAAGTTACCAAAGTGCATCCATGTAATTTTACCGTACAAATTTATCCTGTTTTTCAGAACGCTGAATTTCCCCCGCTGAGTCTATTGTCCGTGGAGAATGGTGCGACCATGCCAGCCTACAACCCTGTCGACCAGCTGGTCTTGGAAAAGTCCACTTCAGTGTGTAGGCCTAATGCAGTGTGTAGTACTGAACAGGAGCAGGTGAGTGATGGTGGATGGAGAAAAAGTTTGGAAAGTACGTTATTGAAAAAATATCCATGCCATCCCATTTAAATTAAATAATTAACAAACTAAGTCAAAATTTCGTTAGAGGAAGCAGTGGGTTGTTAGCGCAGCAGTATGCTACCGATTTCTGAATATTTTATAGCTGACTATGAGCAGAACATTTTTATAATATCTGGTGACATATTTCTCACAGAATCTCAAGAAATAATGAACTTATTTTTGTTTTATTAGCATTGTAATGATTATAAGTATGGGTAATAGAAAATTCTCTTTCTACTTTAGAGCGTTCACAGGAAAAAAATGTCAAAAATAAAATACATTTTGGTAAACCATTTTTTTATTATGTTTTAATCAATTAAATGGTTTTTAAAGAAACTTCAACTCATATCGAGGGTTTAAAAATTTAAAATATTTAAGCTAAGGAAAATGATATCTCTATGCATTTGTCCAAAAACCAATTATAATGTGAAAGAGGTTCAATTAGATCCATCAGGCACGCCAACGATAGTGTTCATTGTTTATTATGATCAATTTGATTTGACACTATTGGAATCCTGTTTTTTTTTTTTTTATTATTATTAATATAGCTTAAGTTTTACAATTTTAACAAGGAATGGCGATGAACAACATTCATTACTTTAAACATATTACTCACACTTTAACAAATATTTAAAATCCAAAATATGTTAACCTCTGAAAAGTATGGTTTGTTTTTTGCAACTTTAAGAGTAGGCTACTTTGTCTTGTTAATTTAATGATATATTTCAGCAAAACAAGGTGGAAAAAGATTTGAGCCTGGTCATAAACGAGACTGAATACATGATCAACTTTGGGTGCAAACAAGTCAGACATTTGAATGCTGTAACTCTTGAGCTGAAACTGTTGTTGACATATGAGCAGGTATGTTTTTATTGTGAAACACGAAACACTTACAAACTAACTTGCAATGTTAGAGCGTTAGAAATAAAACATGAATTACCAAAATTACTTAGTTTACAAAACAACAATATTGAGCAGTAAAATATTGGAGGTAGAAAAAAGAAAAGATATTTTTTTAGAATTTACAATTGTAAATAGTAATGGAATTTTTAAAATGATAAGAAATAACTGTAATGGATGTTTGTAAAAAACAAGTGTTTGTGAAATTTCAAAGTGAAAAATATTCATACAACAGCCACTGGATATCTTGGTGGATTTTTCAGATGCAAAATAAAAATCATACACTAATCAAATCACTGTAGCGAGTAACTTACTGGTTTTATTTTTACACATTCAGTTTTTAATGAACTTTTACAACAAAAAATTGTGTTTGATGTTTGAAATTAGTTCATAATTTGTTTTAGAAAATTCTCAAACAAGTGGTCAATAGAATTGACAAATTTAAATTGCTTAGAGAAGAAAATAAGAGAAAAGCAACAGAATGGGAAAACAAATACAAGGAGAAAACACCGGAATACGAACGTTATTCTGTTATGTTGGTAAGTCATTCCTTACGATTTATGATTTAAGTATGTATTCCTTCTATATTCACCTTTACCATGGAAGACTTATCATGAATTCTCGATAAATTTAATACTGAATGATATACAAATTTATAGTAAGTCGTTAATTTTTCTGTAAAAAAGGTACAATAATAATGTTAAATCCCACTTTATTATTTCATCAAAGTGATTAATTACCAATAAAATATACCACTTTAACTTACAACTTTTAAAATAGGGTAGTCCAGCTGTTTGCTGTTTCCAATCCTGATGTTTAAAAAGAGTATGATTTTTCCAGATAAATGTTCCGCAGACAGAAACTATCAACGTAGATGGAATCCCAGGTCCAGTTCAGCAGGTATTTAAAAATAAAAATAATTCAAAAGTAACTGTTCACATTATACAGGTATTTTTTTTTTCATAAAGTTAAAATACCTAATTTTCAAATTTCCACTGTTTAAAGATGAACCTTTTAAGATTGGGTTAACGACACTGTGTTCTCTTAATCGATTAGCCCTTACATCTATCTATATATATATTAATAGGCAAGCGTGTTTCTTCAAAACCTTTTTTCTTGGCTCATGTGCATTGCAGGGAAAATCTACGCATACTGTTAGAAAGATATTTTCTTATTTTGCTGTAGGTGTGCAGATTTTTTTTGATTTATAAATTAAAATAGGCTCACCCTAGTAGCACAAATATGTATTTTATAAATATTTTATATATTTAAAGTTGTATTTGATAGAACCTCGAATAAAATATAAATATAATATATCTTTAATAATAGTTTGATATATTCAAATATATATTTAAAATATTACCAAAAAGCAATGCAAAATATAAATTAAATATAAGTTTTGAATATATAAAATAGATTCATAATATATTTTGATAAAACAAGTATAGAATATGTAATATACATATTTTATATGTATATTTTTCCTATTAAATATTTAAAAAAATTATGTGTTGAGAATATTTTAAATATATATATAAAATATTTTTGAAACTATATTATATATTTAAATTATTTATAAATATATTTTGAAACACGTCAGATATTTTTTATTAATAAAATAATTTTATATTTGTAGAATATATAGCCTATAATCTTTTATAATTAGCAAATAAATAATTTGCATCTTTTTGTTTTTTATAGTGTCTATCAATTTATACATGCATTTTTTGTATGATAATTGCTATTGTGAAAGCGTTAAAATTAGGTTAATAATAATACGTACTCTGAATGGTGTCACTTTATCATACACGTAAAGAAAAAAAAGCATATAGTTAAGAGGCAGTATACATGTTCGACAGCTACATTTGGGTCAAACGAAAAAAGTGTTGATGGGTTTTATTTTTTTAATTGCAATATGTGACAATGAATGTGATCATAGAAATCTCGTATGATTGGCTAGAAAAGGGTGCTAGTGACTGGCGACCTTTTAAGAAACTAATTACGGTTGTAGATGACGTTCTAAAAATAATTATTTGATTTACATATGCCATAAATTACATAATATTTGTCATAGTATTTAAATTAATTTTTGTAGTTTACTGTATTTGTATTCGTGGAGACTACTCACTATTCACTACAGCACTATTCAACTCAACTACTTGATGCCCCAAAGCATATTAACAGAATCATATTATACTGTAGTATCAAAAATATTTCGAGTATTGCAACCATTGCAACTGAGGGCCACTCTTTCACCATTTGAAAACTAATGCTATCAACAGTCACAAGTAGCTCAGAGGTAAGGTAGGAGGCTCATAAGTCGAAGGACCCAGGTTCGAGACCCACCCGGGATGAAAAAATTTTATCCAGTAATTTTTTCAAAATTTGTTTTTATGAACTATTTAATCAATTTAATCAACTGATAATTGTGTTTTTCATACTAAATCTTTATTATTTTGTGTTTTTATGTTTAGACCCCATGGGATGTTTGGAAGAGATATTAAATACATTTTTTATTTAAATATTATTCACTAAAATATATTATTGGAACATATTTTTTTAATATTTAATAGATTCAAAAACATATTTTTTATATATTTAATATATTTTAAATATTATATAAAATTTACATTAATACACACTTGAGATATATAAAATAGATTTTAAATACATTTATTCATATGTATTTAATATATATTTGTGCTACTAGGGCAAATATAAGCACAAAAAATGAATTTGAAACTTTTAAAAAATTGGGCTTTATGGGTTGCTATGCTGGTGACGATTAACAACGAAATATAAACAGAAAATCAAAACAAATTGAAGAAATTACAATCAGATGTTTTATTTACAGGTTTTCTACCAAGTCAAACTTATGGAATGACTTATTATGAGCTATAGCAATTGTTATGACCCATCAACTTTGTCAGCAACACAAAATTAGGTAGAAAATATCATTTTAGACACGCATTCTGTGACTGACTCACACAACTACATGTTTTGAATTAAAAAATAGCAACAGCTGGTCCATATAGATGGGATATCTACTTCAGTATCAAATTGTCAATGTGTGTAAATAACATATTTTTAGTAGAGTTTTCGACCACTGGACAACCACTAGTTTAATTTAATGTACAACTCGACCTATGCTCTCATTAATATTTTTCTCAACTTGTTTTGGAGCACCCCAATATAATGGAAAATATTGTTGATATTTGCCTGAATGAGTAGAATTTATGTATAGTAGTTTGCAAATATTTTTTGCAGTATCTACAATAGAATAATGAAAAAAAAATCCTTTCCCAGACTTTTTGGAGACCCTTTATACTGTGGTTAAATTTGTATTACATGTTAATTTGGTAACAAAAAAACTGTTTTTAGCAAACTGAACACATTGTAGATCTTTATTTAAATTATGAAAATTTACTCCTAAAAAGCTCAATGAATAGGTAATGTGAATATTGTATAACTGTAATCTTGTTTTTCCTACTGCTACATGGAAATGATCACATTGACTATATAATACCTGAAAATAGTACGATACGCAAAATAGCTCATTTCCGCTTTTTCATTCATACACACTACACAGTAAAAAAGCTGATTTCACCGTTGGTGTTTCTATAAAACACTAACTTCCAGTAAGCTAAGACAAGCTAAATTTCAATTTATATACCCTGGAGCTGAAAAGTTAATCTGTCTGTTATGATGAATTAATTATGGTGGTATAACAATCTTGTGTGTATTATAAGCATAAACAGTCATTGCCGATTGCCGCTCTCGAAATGTATAGCCGCACTCAGCTAAGCAGCCATCTACAGTTCTGGAGCGGCAATGACATACTTTACGCTCTTAATACACAAATAAATAGCTTTTTCAGAAATTTCTGTTCCAAAAACTCACATAAATTGATTTTTATCTTCTTCAAAAGACTGTTTGGTATAGTAAATAACCTTATTTTAGGAATATTTGTTACGAACACAGTAGTGATGAAAATTGGTCATATTACCCTTAAAAATTGCTTTTGTTATAAATAAAAATAATAAATACCCTTAACCTTTTTTCCCAGAAAGTCCTGTTCCAAATAGTGTCTCAGACCACCAACACAGCCAATAGGGTGGTGGTACATTTGTCCATGGAAGAGGCTGTCGCGAACGACATAGACTTGACTCTACAAGACATGAAAGTGAGTTTACAGAAATGTACGGTATTTCTTATTTATTTATTTTCTACTTTTTTTAGAGTTGGTGCCTTGCAGTCTTTTTCTAACCTTTCATTGGCCTATCCACATGGGCTAGACCTGTGGTAGAAAGTACTGTTTTGTAAGTCCTAGATAGTGAGACACCCTTACTATTTTTTTAGTGTGGCCTTGCCCTTACCCTTAACTGTCTGTAAGAATTTTAGTAATCCAAATGCATCTTTGACGGTCAATTCCCTCACAGTTTCAAGGAAAAAAATCAGTCAGCCAGTATAGTAGTGTACATGACTGAACCGTACTGATAAATTTCAAATGGCGACACTGGGAAAAGTTTCCGAGTCTGTGACGGTGCCGTGAGCCACACAACTTATCCTATGTTTATTTTTGCTGTTTCGATGTTTAATAATGAGCAAAAAATTTCATTAAAGAGGCTCTCCATTAAAGATGAAATCTTAAAAAAATAAAAAAAAATTATCTTAAAAAATCCAAAGGAACATTACTGAAGTTAAAACTCTCTTAGTATTTATCAATATTCTCTAATTTAAATTTAATGTACACGTTTCATGTTTTTACACTTTGAACTTCTTTTCAAAGGCCTCTTAATGTTGTAAATAGTTAAATAGTTGTACAAGGTGTTCCTTTTTCAAACATTGCTGTTTGTGTGCCAACAAATGTTTGGCAATATGAATTGAACCGGTATTTAAAACGGAATTTTAATTCTTATCAAAATTAAGATTTGAGATTTGAAATTGAATACACATTTAAGAGACAGGAAGTAAGTTCAATTGTTTAGAATCTACCAAAATCAGTAACATTAACTATACACTATTAAAATAGGTTATAATTATACACTAAGATAATTAATTATAATTGCAGAAACATTGTGCTGTTATGCTCAAACAAATTGCCGGTTGGCTGAAAATGCTCGAGGCTCAGATTAAACATCAAAACATCGTTCTGGATCGGTGGACTGAATGCAAAAATATGCTTAAGGATCTTAAAGTTCAGGTAAGTTGATGCTTTAAGTGCTATTGAGTTCATATACCCATAACCTGTTTAAACTTAAATGCAAAATGATAATTAACTAACACGTTTACTGCGGATGACGAGTAATCTAGCGCTTTCTAGATGGAATGCTAGCGCTTTCCAGTAGCGTGTGACCAGTATAGGTACTCATCAAAGCACCGTTTACAAACTATTGTTCCAATGTGAGGTTGTACACTGCCATGAGACGTTGTTTCACTTGCCGCTTATTGTGCCAGTGTTATACTTCAATCTGGTATAGTTCGTTTTCTGATCCGACTATTTTATTGGTGTTGGTAGGGATGGTACAAAGTTAATATATTCTTTAAGCCAGCCATTAAGTCAAGGAATAAGCAATAATCCAAACTAGCTGCTTAGATAAATAGTAATCTAACACAAATTAGCAGAGGTGCCCATCCCCCTCAAACCCAGAGGCGCAATCCCCCCCCCAAGCAAAAGGAGTAGCCCCCCATTTATACTGCCGTATATTTAAACCTACCCTTCCCCCCGCCAATTTATCTGTAAATTTCCCCTTTACCTCATAAAACGAGCATTTAAAGTATTTAGTAAAAGTTGAGGTAAAGAAAAACAAACTTTCTGATAATAAAAAAATAAATGTTTAATAGTAAACGCCATTTAACAATATATCATTATATCTAACTAATGGACGAATTAGAAGTTTTTCAATTTAAAATTCAGAATCTGTATTGTCAGCCAACAGTTACTCAGTATTGCAATAGAAAATGTCTTCAAAACGTACAGCAATATACTCGGTGAATTACTCTACTCCAACGCAGTACTGTAACTGTACAATATATTAGGTGGCGTTAATTTTACGGGGCTTAAGAACTCAAACAGCTTTAAGTGCATTAATAATACTTTGGCAAAAAGTAGGCTATCTTATTTCAAAATTATAGGCAGAGTCACGAAGTATAGGACAGACTTGTTGCTCGCCACTAGGCTTCCTTCTACAAAAATCGCCGGACAAAATACCCAGAATTCCTTAATTGCCACCAGCATAAAAGGTTTTTGTGATGAAGTAATCTTATAATAAATTCATTTTGATAGCCCCAGGATTGCCTCTTATGACTAATAATGGTAGAAACGCATCTTGTCAGACAATCCTTAATAATATATGTAAGGTAGAGTCGAATATATTTACTTGCTACATATATTCTGGCGGTTCTTTAACTCCACCATCGGAGGTTTACAAAAGGATCCACTTCTAGAGGTGTCGTCAAAATATGTTACAAACATTAAACACGAAACGATAACAGATAGGCCTATCAATTCACGCGTGTATATTGCCGCGGGCAGGACTGGAAGTAAACGGAATCAGGTTATGACGGAAAGACGTGGTCTCTGGATTGTCGTCTGTGTTATCAAAAGCTGATATTGGACTAATTGTAGTGACGAAGGAGAGTGTTGAAAATATAATGGGATTCATAATTTAGTTTTCCATTCAAAATTATTGACAATAATAACCAATTTATATGCTGGATATAAATGATGGTCTCGAAATTCTACAGTACTGCGGGAAAGTAAATTTATTAAATACTTTTGAAGAGTTTGAAATTTATAAATACATAAAAATAGGGACAGCACACAATTTTTGAGTGAAAACACTCGATTAACTATGAATTCCATTATATTTTCAACACTCTTCTCAGTCATTACAATAGTGCAATATCAGCTGTTGAAAACGCAGACGACAATCTAGAGACCACGTCAGTCCGTCTCCGTCATAACCTGAACCTGATTCAGTTTACTTCCAGTCCTGCCGACGGCAATGTACACGCGTGAATTGATAGGCATGTCTGTAATCGTTTCGTGTTTTGTATTAAATGTTTGTAACGTGTTCTTACGACATCTCCAGAAGTGGATCTTTATGTAAGCCTGGCGATAATAGAGTTTAAGAACCACCAAAACATATGTATCAAGTAAAATTCGACACTAGAATATTAAGGATTGCCTGACAATGTGTGGTTTTTGGTGGTTTTTACCAGTCTTAGAAGCAATCTTAATTACGAATGGCAGAATGTTGTTGGTGTTGATAGTGTACTACTTAGAAACACTTTTCAGGCTGCTTATACAAAATTATACATTCATTATGATAGCTAGCAAAAAAATGTCCCCCCCAAAAGCCCCTAAAAAAGTCCCCCCCCCCAAAAATTCCTGTGGTGCAAACGCGCCACAGTCCCCCCCCTCTGGGCACCCCTGCAAATTAGTAATTACTTGAATATCATAAATTAACAAAGTTAGGAGGTACGTCTTAAGATAAAACATCTTATCACCTAATACATCGTCTGAGTTTTCATGAACAGATCATACTTGCATTAGAAACTCCCTTTCATAAGAGTAACTTTCATGTTAATGATGTTTAAATATTATCATTCATTTATACTATTCCTGTATGAAGTCGTAATTTACATGGCATCTTTTTTATGATTTTTTTCAGGGAGAAACAGAAAATTTTTTAAACAACACTACTGATGACAGTAAAAATGTAAGTACTGACCTGTAAACATTGAACGTAATCTTTTATATGCTGTTAGTTATCAGATCGAATTCAACTTGCAGTGGATCGTAGGTAAACTTGAGATACAGATGAGTTAATAATATGCAAGTCTTTTTACTGTCTTGATATCAGTTGGTTCTTTTGCCAAGATCATGCATAAATGCAGCGTTATGTGCAGCGATTCCTCATATTCTGTCTGGTAATTTAATGAAACATTTTATTTTCTTTCTAGATAACACAACAGTTGAAGCCATATGAAGAACGTTTAAAAAGAATTGAAGAAGCCCTCTGCAAACTTACTGTAAGTATACACCTTTAGTTGGTAGTTGGACGAGTAATTCTAAACTGTAAACAGTTTGTTTACTTCTATTTATTATTTTTTAATCATTAATTTTGTTTTATTTTATTTTAAAGTCTTCGTTTGACGACTCTTTCTGCTTTGTAATGGGTTTCCCGTTGGAATAAATAAATCAATCTGATCTTCAAATTCAAAATATATTTATTTATATGATGTACCAGCTTTATCTATGTTATTTATTTATGTTATTGACCAGAGTTTAAATGCCATTAACAAATACTTAATAGGCTTTTGTAGGAAAATTTTCTTGAGCTTTTGTCTGTTCTTTAAACAATTAACTTTCAATATCTTTGATAAAAAAATCTTTATAAACTTCACACCAGAGTATGAGCGCTTTGTTTTGAATCTTTCTAGCCTGTCACAAATGTTTGGATGTAGAATGCCTCTTAAGTTCCTACTAAATGATATTTGATAGTCATTGATACCTTTATCACTAATAATATAAATGATGTAACAAGATACATTAAAAAATAACTTGGCAAAATCGCAGGATGTGTTTTATACAAATATTGGGTTTTTTTATGAATTTTAGTTTGTTTTCACTTGGAGAAAATGAGGTAAATCATCCATTTTTACCTTTGCTGGCAGAATATGCGTTGCTTCCCAAGAGGTTTTAGGTTGGTTGGGGCAGGGGAAGCAAGAGAAAAATTCCCTTGAAGTATGGAGCACAATTATAAGAGTTAATTTTCCTACTACTGGATATTGAAGATTTTAATAATAAAATTGAATAATAATAATATTGAACAAGGTAACTGTTATTTTATCATCACAATTATAAATCAGTCCCATAGCTTGTCACATTCAAGCTGTAGGCCTGTGTTTGTTGTTTTATATACATTGATTTCATTGAATTGTTTGTTATTACTCTATTAATTATAATTTTATTCTGTTATTTACCTACTCAATGTTACTTGTTTTTAGGGACCTCCTTGTATTAACTCTCCTCAAGTGAGTACCCAATTTTCTATTTTATTTCAATTTTTTACTACTATTATGTGAGTTGCCATATTTTATCACACAAAGACAAAACATATTAAACTTGTCTATTGTTGTCAACTATAGGTTACTGAAGTTTATGCATAACCACTGCACTTATAATTTTCATATTTTTTGAAACTGACAAAGGCAAAGCAACAATGTTAGTATTGTAGTATTTAATTTATTTCAGCCCAAGCCTGAATTTTTTAGAAGGTTAAACATGGACACCTCCATGATTCCCAAATAACTTCCTTATCTTAACGTGGATAATTATTGTATAACAAAATCAGTAGAGTTAAAAGAATGAGGTATTTATTTTATTTTTGGCTACTATATTTCATGGTTTGATTTTAGCAAACAATATCAGACCCGTACGACCAACGCTTGAAAATAATAGAAGAGGCAATCTGTAAAATGAGTGTGAGTAAACTAAAATTAACAAACAACTCATTTTACTGTATAAATTATTTTTTACACTTTTTTGGGAAAAGCTATTTGAATAGAGGGGTTTTCTTGGAAAGTTAGACTTCAACTAACTTCTCTGAGAGAATTAATTGAGGGACCAGGGTCTACTAAACTAACATTTAGGGGGAGTCTCAGGAATCCTGGCACGACGACTGAAGCTTATTTTGCTTGGCTTACAGTATAGAATTTCATCGCAGAGTAGATTTGGATTACCCAATCTAATTTATACATATTTTATCATCACATTAGATCAATTTTGATTGACAGGAAAAATCTACCTGTTTGTAGATATTCTTGTAATTATTTTAATGCCTTCTCTTCATAAGTGTTTTTCAAACATAATTAGAATTTAAAGAATGAGGTAATGCTCTTTATTTGAGTTAGTTATTTTGTTATGAACTTTTAGTCACATATATTTTGAAGATAATAATTATTGATCATAGTCTATGATGAACTGGTTTTATATATGTACTCTTTATATCTTAAAAATTATATGAATCATGACAATAAGCTCAATATAATTATGCCAAAGTAGGTAGCCTACTCATAATCTGTTCTTTATTATTGTTGATTTTATCTCTATTATCTATTTTTTTTATATGCATTACTGGTGCTGAGGTTGACTATGGTACAAATTAGTGTGGTTAGAAACAAAAAAGTTTAGCTTATCATTGTTGCATGACTAAATTACGTCCGCAACTTAGAAAAGTGATGCCCATTGGGAAAAATGTTATTTTACGTCTGTTAAGCCGTGTTTACCCGAAGCCATTAGGCAGGTTGCCTGAGGTAACTTGACACTAAGGCCGATATCCTGGCCTTGTGTAAACACAGCCTTAACGCTAAAATAAAATAATTTCCAACCACAGTAATCTTAATGGTTAGTAACTGTTAAGCCATGAAAGTTTTTTTTATTTTTCAGAATCCTCAACAGTGCAATACTTCTCCTTATTTTGTCTGCCAAGTGGTAGGTTTACAGTTTCAATACATGTAACTCTAACAATAGCTGTAATTACTTTTTCCCACCACCCACATGTAAATGATCCCATTGCTATCTGCTAAGTAGCTCATTGTCGCGCTATTTTCCAGTTGTTCTTTTTTAGACCTATCACAACCACGGATCCGGAACGTTAGTTAACTACCGATAAGCAAATAACATAACCTTAAAGAAGCAAGCATACCCTAAATGTCATTTTATATAGGTACATCTAAAAAGTTAGTCTATAAGTTAGTTAATAATGGTGGTAGGAAAAAACTTGTGTGTATTACAAGCACGAACAGTCATTGCCGCTCTCAAAATGTATATCACACTCAGCTAAAGATTCTTGCGGTCATCTACAGTTCTCGAGCGGCAATGACATACTTTGTGCTCTTACTACACAAATAGCTTGTAAGGTGCTGAGGCAAATTTTCTTTTATATCACTCTTAATGCACAAGATTGAATTCATAAAAAAAAGTTTCATATTAGGATGTTGGTTATTTAAATGGTACTTTTAAAACTATCAATTATAATACCAAGGAAATGATATCAGTTTTTAACCTAACTATTTTGAATTATTTAATTGTTTATCAATTGTGACTATCATTAGGCATGGACTAACAATTCTCAACCACTTAAAAACAGTCAATATATAGGAGTCACCCCCAACCACTTAAATATGTGCTACTGAGGATTCATAATTTTATACTCAATACTTCCAGACTATGGTTTTGGTATTGATTTCAGAATATTAATTATGCACATTATTGTCATCGCTGTAACACTATTTACCTCCCCATGATCACTGCACCGTCATGATCATCTCCCACAATTATGGCAATATTGTAAATTTTGTATCTACAGTATAAGATACACTGACTTTAAACCTTTCTAAAACAATCAAAACTTACTTCCTGTTAGAAGGCTCATAACTTATTTTCTCATTTTCAGCCTCAAGGAAATTACAATGATTCTTTGTGTGATCCAACAAGGGTGAGTTTTGGTCTAGTTGTCGTCAATATTAATATTGTTGTTGTTATTTTTGGTAATGAGGACTTTTATTGTAAAATGATATCATCAAAACACTAATGATTGGTTTTTAATAAGACCATTTTTAAAATAATAAAATTATATTTGTTAGTTGTATTTTAGTTCTCGTTGTTCCTAGCACTCAACTAGTGAACAAAGATCTAGTAAATATACACAACAATTATAACACTCTTGAAAGTCAACCATATTCCATCAAAGAATGGTGTAAGTACCTAAATAAATAATCCATATTGATCAAAATAAAATCTGTGTTTGAAATAAAAATTAATCTTGGTATTTATTAGTATTTAATGAAAAACTTTAAATGTAATAGTTAATTTAATTTAAATATATTTGTGGCACTATATTGGTGACAAATAACACATGTTTTAACTGATTGTTAGTGCTGTTTAAAATCATATTAACCTGAGACATGTCTTGCTAAATACAGTGATTTTAATACATTCAAACTATTTTTTCTTTCACAGGGAATCAGTAGTAACGGAACACAGGTGAGTGACTTTTTTGTGCAGAATTTTTAAGGTTTTGTACATTATGTAGTTGTCAGGGGTGTCATGGACGGAAGTGGAAATTTCATCAAACTGTTATGACAAGTTTAATAGTAAATAGGCCTAAAGTAATATTTTTCCGTTTGGAAAAAAAAATTGAAAAAAAGAACTTAATATAATATTATGTAGCTTATGTAATAAAATGTAGTTACCGTAGGCCTAAGAATGAATACAACATAAATAAAATAAATATTGCCAAAATCTGGCAAACTACGCCACTTCAACATAGTCACCATTCTACACAAACACATAGTTAAAAAACACAGAACAGCTGATTACACAAGAACAGGCCGGGTCAAACCAAGGCCCTACTAAAAAAACAGGCTATGCTGCAGCACGGCCAGCGCAACACTACGTCACAGTGGTGGATAGTTGTACTAAACTCTTACCATTAAAATCTTACAAACAGCAAGCAATTGTATTTGTTTTATTGGTTTTCATTTGTTGACCAGCATTAGGCCCATTAAGTGTTTGCCATATGCACCTTTGGTTATTTTTTATCCTAACCTCAATTCAAATACACTACATAGTACCTATACAATATTTGTTTGTAAAAAAATAATTTCTGGTGAGTATGTCTGTATTATTTCTGCAGTATTTCAACTAAATATGTAAGGTTTGACACAAGTAAGATACTGTATCAATTCTGGGCCAGGTGCACCTTTCCGCCACTGTAAAAATTACCAATTTAATCTGAAGGTGTGGTGACAACAATTAAATGAAATTTAAAGGGAAATCAATTTAATTTGCTTGTTTCATATCAAATATTTATTTTCTCCTGTTTACTTGAAACATTTCAAATACATTTGTAATAAATTATTTTGCAGACCCAACAATGTGTTTCACCTAGTCCGCAAGAGTGCAGTCCGCAACATCACAACTTCTCGTCCATCTCAGATTGCTACATTGAGGACCCTTACTTGCCCTCGCCAGTATTGGTAAGCTATTGTTACTTAAGTTATAAACATAAAGTTGGTTGTAGACCAAAAAGCATTTTGAGCTGAGGCTACGGCCACACTAGGGGACTCGTCGCCGCACCTGGTTGCCAACAATTTCGCTGGGTAGCCAAGTTGTCATGATGCTTGCGTAACAATCAAAAGGTCACCGGTTCAACCCTGAGAAAGGTCCGTAGATTTTTGATGGTTTGAAACTGGACCCAGCTGTTTCTGAGATAACATTGGGAGCGTCTTTGTCATTGGACCAAAAAACGCTCCTCGAACTCTCATATGTTTTACTGTCACCGGTGGTTAAATAAACTTTTATTCTTTGTATCGCCGACGAAGTCGATAAGTGTGACAACAGCCTAAGAGAGGCATTGACGGGTAAAAAAAATTAGTACTGTAACTGTAAGGAAGAATAATAGGGTAGAATGTTAGCTAACTAGTGTGGTTTCATGGGAGTGGTGACTTTCACTCCAATAGATCAGTCTGTAGTTAGTTCAAGATATTCTGAATAAATAGTACACAGTAATTTATATCAAGTAATTCTAAATGAAAATTTTACAATAAACCAAATGGTGGCATAGCGGCCAGAGTGGTTTTGTTACATATTTTTATTTTTAAGATGAATGTCAATGCTCCATTGTATTTAAAAAATTTTTCAAATATAATTTTTACATTGTTTCTTATTCTTACATTTTGGGCTAATTGCGTAATGTGTTTGATAATTAAATGTGAGATTTTTATAAAGCTATGAGTATACCTATACTTTGAAAAAAAAAGTTTTTGGTTGTATTGTAAGTTCAACAACTAATGATAACACTTTGCTTGCAAATTATAATTGAATCCATCATGATTTACCATAGTATATTATTTCACAATTTTATTAGACAGATAATACTATTATAATGCTTTAAGCTAGGATGTTTTCAATTTAAAGAGACATGTAAATAGAAACTATGTTTGCAGTTCCCATCATTTCCTTCGCCTTGCCCTCCATCTCCATGCCCCGAAGTATGCTCCCCTCAGAGTCAGAATCCACAAGTAAGTTAGATGATTTTAACTTTCAAATATATATATTTTATATCCAGCCAAATTATTGGTGTTCTGGTGTTCTAGCCATGTTATAAATTTCCATATTTATTAATGTGGTCTTCAAAATGTTGAATCAAAGTGTGTGTTATTGAGTCCAAAGTTGTATTGCAGAATGAAATTTAGGCGTTTACAATGCATACAGTAACCCTAGTAGCACAAATATACATTAAATACATATGAATAAATATATTTAAAATCAATTTTATATATCTCAAGTGTGTATTAATGTCAATTTTATATAATATTTAAAATATATTAAATATATATAAAAAATATGTTTTTGAATCTATTAAATATTAAAAAAATATGTTCCAAAAATATATTTTAGTGAATAATATTTAAATAAAAAATGTATTTAATATCTCTTCCAAACATCCCATGGGGCCTAAAACATAAAATAATGAAGATTTAGTATGAAGAGCACAATTAATTATCAGTTGAGTAAATTGATTAAATAGTTCATAAAAACAAATTTTGAAAAAATTACTGGATAAAATTTTTTTAGCCCGGGTGGGTCTCGAACCTGGGTCCTTCGACTTATTAGCCTCTTACCTTACCTCTGAGCTACTTGTGACTGTTGCTAGCATTAGTTTTCAAATGGTGAAAGAGCGGCCGTCAGTTGCAATGGTTGCAATACTTGAAAAATTTTTGATACTACAGTATAATATGATTCTGTTAATCTGTTTTTCCGTAATTCGTTTCTTAAAAGGTCGCCAGTCGCTAGCACCCTTTTCTAGCCAATCATTCGAGATTTCTATGATCACATTCATTGTCACATATTGCAATTTAAAAAATAAAACCCATCAACACTTTTTTTCGTTTGACCCAAATGTAGCTGCCGAACATGTATACTGCCTCTTAACCATATGCGTAATTTTTTCTTTACGTGTATGATAGAGTGACACCATTCAGAGTACGTATTATTATTAACTTAATTTTAACGCTTTCACAATAGCAATTATCATACAAAAAATGCATGTATAAATTGATAGACACTATAAAAAACAAAAAGATGCAAATTATTTATTTGCTAATTATAAAAGATTATAGGCTATAGCCTTTATTCTACAAATATATTATTACTAGCAGTTACCCGGCGCGCGTTGCTGCGCTTAACAACTATTATTGTAAATAGTAACATTGTTCTTTACGATGAATAATAAAAGTGTGTACCAAAAATAAAAATAGAATATTTTACTTAATTGCCAGTGAATAGGGCCTAAACAATTTTTTTTGTTTTTTCTATAAGTTTTTAGACGTACCTACCACCACGTGAGCACGCAACATACAGCTGTCCGTGTGAAAAGCATGCATTTTCAAAATTTAAACCGACGATAGTCAGGGTGTGCCCTAGTGCCTTATAATGGTGATTGGGAAAGAAAGACAAAAAAAGGAAATTGTATTTGCTTCAATTCAGAGGGTAATTTGGATGAAGTCATCAGTATTCTTAGGATTAAGACTATTTCTCCTTTTAAATGGATTTAAGTTTCGCATTAGTATTAATGGAGTTCCTTCTTTTAATGCCAGTAATGGCATTTGAATACCTGAGATAGCACGCACGATTATTATTCACTTAATAATTTATGTTAGATTGTGTGGGTATAGAACAAAAGATAAAAATATTAAGGCATTACCATCCCTTTTATTGTTTATAATACTTTAATCAAGGTTTTTATGTTTACATATTCAACATTGGAGAATTTAAACATTGTTGAGTGCACAGGTGTGCTGCGATTGGGGTTTAATATATTTGGACTTATTCAAAAGTAAAATAGTTTTCTGTGCTGCACTCTGTAGAAACATTGTGGCACTATTTCAAATCATGACTAATACAGAACGTTGTGATTATTCAAACCTACAAAACAGTTGGTGAAAGAAAACATCTGCTTTTAAATTATATTTATTTGTAAACATTGTAGTTCAAAAAGTCTGACATTGTCCCACTTAAAACCCTCTGGGGCGGAGCCCTTTTGACGGATCTGCACCAAACTTCACAAAAACCATCCTTGAAAGATGCTTAATAATTCCTGAAAGTTTCATTACAATCTGTCGAGCGGTTTCGGAGTCCATAACGTTCAAACATATATATATATACATACAAACTTCCTCTTTTACAGATATAGATTTTATTAATAAAAATATCTGACGTGTTTCAAAATATATTTATAAATACTTTAAATATATAATATAGTTTCAAAAATATTTTATATATATATTTAAAATATTCTCAACACATAATTTTTTTAAATATTTAATAGGAAAAATATACATATAAAATATGTATATTATAGATTCTATACTTATTTGATCAATATATATTATGAATCTATTTTATATATTCAAAACTTATATTTAATTTATATTTTGCATTGCTTTTTGGTAATATTAGCGAATTTCCCTATAGGGAAGTAGCTATTACCGTAGGTGGCACGGTAAGACTTAGACCCGGGACCGATTTACTTTTTCATTTTGATGTCCCCAGAGGCCAAAAACACCATTCGTTCAAATTTTTATATATGTATATATAAAACCATATATGTACATATATGTACATATATGTATATATATGTATATATGTATATAACCGCAGGGGGCTCACGCTTGTGTGGGTTCGTGGCCTGGGCGACCACGCGGACCCTAGCTCTCCCAGAGGGGAGGTAACTGCCCGGTGTCAGACCCGGCACTTCAGGTAGACCACAGTTATGGACGACTGGTAAGCGCCAGCCCCTTAGGGGGAGCCTCCAGTGACATTCCCTCCATTCAGGGTGGGGGGGGTGTTTAGCTCTCAGTGACGCCGTTAATTCCGCCTCTCCTCATCTACCTGTAACTGTGGTTGTGACTGAGTCCTACCTGTTGTGTTCGACTGACATTTTGTGAGGCATATCCTCGACTTTGGAAGTAGCCTCGTCCTGGGAGGTGAAATACCTAGCCCCCAGAGGGGAGGTAAATGCTCCGTGTTGGTATCGGCATTTTCAAGTTGGCCACAGACATGGTCGACTGGGCATCGGGTCCCAGTGACATTCCTTTATCCAGGATGGAGGGGTGTTTAGCTCTAGGAGAGATGGAAGTACATCATAATCTCTAACCTACCTGTGTCTGTGGTTCTTTGGGCTTCGGCCTGCTTGTTGTGTGCGACCAGCATTCAGTGGGCAAATCCTCGACTTTGGAAGTAACCTTTCCTGGAGGTGAAAACGGGCAAGTACCCGCAGCTCACGGGGACACTCAAGGGCAACGTAACTTTCCGCAGTGTGAGGGCAACGGTTTGTAGGTACTTATGCAAGCCTATCCCTGTCTCTGAGCACGGACGGTATGGTTATCTTGAGTGTGGGGGGTTCTTCCCGGAACCTCAATTGAGTCAAGGGTGTCGCCACCTCTGGTGGATAGGTTCATCCGGGTGGGTCCCACTTCTATACCTGCCTCCTTTTGGGAAACCCTGATGGCCTGGCAGTGATGTTGGGTCTGACGGGCAAACGAAGTAGATCGGGTGCTGGATCCGAGCCCGCCGGGGGTATCTGGGGATCTATCGCTCTGGATATCTCTGGTTCCCAGCAATGGGTCAGGCCTCGATCGGGCAGCGGTGTAAATGGGAGGTTGGGGTTCCCCCCGTCAGCGTGCTGATGGTCCCCTTCCTCCTGGCTATTGATGGCGGGTTCTGCCTGTCAGGGATTAGATAGGTCCCGAGTGTTGCTTGCACTAAATGCGTCGGGGCGCTCTACTATGGACCTCTAGGTTCCGACCTAGTGGAACCCAGGTGGAGTGACGCTTAAACAAGCAGCCGGAATCCCTGGTTAGGATTGAGGGGCAACCCTCTCTCCGAAGGGTCTGCTTCGGCAGCCGGCGAGCCTGATGACCTTAAGTCATCCGCCCATGATGTGCTAAAGGTTGATGCGTAAGCTTCGGCCTACATCATGGGGCCCGGGTATGTCCTGGAGGATAGGTACCGGGTAAGCAGTCAGGGGGCTTCGGCTCTCATGACAACAAATGTAAATAAATAAATAATAATAATATAATAATATGTATATATATAGACTTATATATATATACGTCCGTGAACGCGATAACTTGAGTAATTTTTGTCCGATTTTGATGAAATTTGGTTTAAAGGTGTAAAGCGGGATAAACTTGAATGAGTTCGCGAACCAGCACGATCGGACCATGGGAACGGGGCTTTACGGGGGGTTTTATGGGGTAAAAATTGGTTTTTCTCACTTTTGGCCCTCAAAACACAAAATTTCCCGATTTCTCTTTAGACCTTTTTAAAGAGCTTAAAAAAACAAATAATTTAATATATAAAAGTATTTTTGTTCAATTATTAGTAATGGAGAAAATTAAAAAAATTGTAAATTTAAAATTCCCATGTTATTCTTATGGAGAATATTGTCAAATGTTGTAGTTTGCTTGTTTATGGATATATTTTGATCAAACTTGGCAAATTTATTTATTTTGTACTAAGCTATCAATATTTTACTCAAAAACACACTTTATAAGTTTCCTTGTAGCAGCAAACCTAGGTACTCGTTAAACCTAATGTTATTAAAATATATTTAACTGAAAATCAATTCAGACAAATGGAAATTCGCTTAGTCGGCAGGTTTGCTGCGGCGGGGGTATTTTAAATATATATTTGAATATATCAAACTATTATTAAAAATATATTATTTATATATTTTATTCGAGGTTCTATCAAATACAACTTTAAATATATAAAATATTTATAAAATACATATATGTGCTACTAGGGAAACCTAATCAATCATAACAAAAATCAAAATGTGACATTGACAAATTTCCATTGTTTTGTAAGCTATGTCTTAACACAGTAAAACTCAGTGTTGGGGAAGCTACTTTTAAAATGTAGCTAGCTACAACTACTGCTACATTTCCAAAAAAGTAGCTTAGCTACAGCTACAGCTACAGTTCCGAAAAAGTAGCTAGCTACAACTACAGCT